CAAATCGAAGTGCCCGGAGTGGTCTAGCTTGGAATGATCTTAGAGAATTTGTGTCATCAGCATTTAGGCTTTGAGGCTCTGAGTTGTGCGCTCGATATCACACGCGGCCATGGTGGAGTTTACCATTTCGGAAGAGGTAAGGTATGACACAATGTCGAATGCTCACGTCCATTTTGGTCAAACAGGCGCCACACGCGGATCATGAACTCTTCTGAAACAGAGGAAAAGCTCAACATTTTGAAGACGTATTTATGGGTCACGCACGAGAAGGATCACGCGGCCACCCGCCGCAATGCACCCGAACCTTGGAAGGTCCAACATGAAGAAGGACAACTAGTCAAAGAGTTGAAGTTGCATCTTTCCATTGTTCAATCCTATGAATGGCATATCCTCGCCGCTGCGCGCGAGCAAGCTTCCATGAGAAGGAGCATTGAGACTTTGGAGCCTGGCACATGTTATTTCCAAGCTGACTTCAGCGAAAACATAGGTGTGCCCATTGCTCACGAAGAAACAAGTGACATGTGGCACGGGGCTGCTAGAAAAACTTTGTCAGTATTTGGCGTCTATTTGCGCCAATGGATTGAAAACCAAGTCAAAACACGTATCGTTCTCTACGTGTCAGAGGTCCTAGAGAAAAGCGCACTGTTCGCATCGCTCCTCATTCGCAAGGCGGTGGAGAAGGAAGTTCTGAACAAGGGCAAGCTGAAGAAATTGATTTTCGTATTTGACGCAGGCAATCATTTTAGGTCTTATGAGGCTGCGCACAATACCATGATCTACATCCCGCTCCAATACAAACAACCCTGCGTTACCCGCTACCTGGTGGAAAAACATGGAAAAGGACCGTGTGATGCTCAAATATTTTCCCCCATGAGGCGATTTCTGAAACAAGCTTGCCTACGCCCTGATTTTTTTGCGGAGAACGAACGGCAAGTAGTAGCTGCTTTAAAAGAACAGGCAGCCAAAGAACAAGCTGCTAATCCTGATGGTCCTGAATGGGTGATCGAGGTTCCTACCCTGCCTGCGCGAAGACCTGCCGCCAAAGTGATCACTATGCACAATTGCCAGATCAATCGCAGCTATTGCTTTGAAAGCCTGCTTTCCAAGTCTGCAGCCAGCGGGGTGCAGATCCGCAATTGGATTTTTTCGGATTCTGGGAGCTTCGCCAGATTGAATTTCTCTGTTGAGGAGAAAGCACCGGAATTCGCAGAATGGAAAAAGGATATTTCCAGGACCCATCCTGGCAGAAACCGCCATTGGAATTAGGTTGCGACAACGCAATCACAAGAAAATACCAAAGTCAAAAAGATCGGCCATCCACTCGTCCAGACATGAAGAAGAAACCAGCACGCACAGTGGCAAGCCTGTGTCTCAGAGACGAACGCCAATTGGCCAGCCATTTGGCAAAAAAGAAACGGAAATACAAAGCATGGCAGCCCGATGACAGTGATATCAGCCTTTGAGGAAAAGGTGCTTTTCTCATGTTGCAGGCGTTTTCCACTTTCATGGAGTTCACTGACCAGTTGGCAAATGGATCGTCCTTGAAAGAATATATAAATTTCAAATACCATTTACTAGCCATTTAAGATAATCCCATGGCACATATACGCAAACCCCTGTAAAACGAAGGTGACCCTTTATAACGAAGGAAAAATAAATATTCCATTTTGGGGCAATAGAGTTTTGGAGATAGCCCATATGTATTTATGTATAGGTGGACCTGTAACATATATATATTATACATATATAAAGATGTACTTATACAAATACATGTATATACTGTACATACTACCAAACATATATTGGGGATTATCGTTCTTATTTTCTGGAATCGGACATCTGCTCGGGGGTGTCCATCCAAAAATGGGGGGAAGCAATGATCAAATGATCAACTTGAGTAGGGGGGAACTCTACGTTTGGAGAAACGATAAATGCTGTCATTGCTGTCATTGTTTGGGTTAATTTTTGCACCCAATCTGAAGATACGCAGAAACCTTCCTTGTTTACATCCTGATGATCCGCAATGATTCTCATGGGTGACCTATGACCAGGCAGCGTGTGCTTCAACTACTCGATGAGGACTATTCTGAACTGCATGGTGTGTCCTGAAATTGGATCAAAAAAGATCTATTTGCCTAAAGCTCTGGAATAATGGTAGAATATGTGGGATGGCTCAATACCTACAAAACATTATAAGACCATATTGGGCGGTTTAGCAAAGTTGCGATTACTTCAAGGTACCAGGGTTCTGACTCGTCCTATCTCGCCCTCATATATAAATATCGCTAAGACTTGCCTAGAGATGCAATTTGGAACCCAACAATCAACATCCAATTGGTGCTTGCTTTTAATATGTTTATTGTCAATTTGGATCAGTTGGAACAGGTTTACTATAGTTCACAAATAGACTCACAAACAAATCCAAATTTTTTCCCAAAATATTACCTGTCATCTTTTAATTTACCACAGGTTTCCTTGACATTTTGCAGTGTCCCCTGCCGCCCAGGAGACACCCGAAGAGCGCGCCATGCAAAGCGAGATTCAGAGGCGACGGGTCAGATTTCCATCGCGGTTCACCGCCAAAAATGCTGATTTCACGGGATTTCATGGGACAAGTTCAGTCAGTTATAGAGATTTGGCCTCTGGTAACGGCTTGAAAAAACTGGTAAATCATAATGTTTGTCTATAAGCCATGGTTTCCATAGGGCTATGTTGAATCACTGAACACTTCTCTTGTCAAAAAAACTGAATATCTAGGCTATTAAAACCATATTTTAGGGGCCATATTTTGGGCGGAATGAAAATCCATTCGTCAGCTATTTTGATGTTCAGGGGTACCAGGTTTTGCCCCAAAACCATATCTGAATCGCCCCAATATGAAACACCCCCAGAGACCATAGTTTAGTGGGGGGATTTACACAGATTTGGGACCATACAATGGGGGTGTTTAATATTGGGGGCATGGAATTATCGAAGAATATCTGAACATGTATGAACATCACGCCAAAATGGTGGATAACATTGGATAACCAAAACATATTTGAACATACTTATATGGCAAGGTCATACATGTTGGGAAACATTCCGTACATGGAGCATGGGTTATCTGAATATGTGACCGAAAAGGTGGATTAGCCAAAAAAATGAGCGGGATTAGGAAATGAGCGGGTACCCTGCATGAAAAGCAAACAGCTGTAAAGCCAGCCCAAATGGTGATAATATGATTTTAACGAATGAAAAGCAAGCATTGGATTTCGGAAATATTTGAAAAGTCCAAGATCGAAACCATTGATCATCATACGTTCCATCATTTGATGGGCACTGGGGATGTACACTGGGGTGGAGAATGAAAGTAAGCGTCAGCTGAGTATCGATATCAGGTGCATGACCCAACTTTTCGCAGGAGATTTCACAGCTGGAGATTTCGTGAATGGTGGTGACTTTGTCCCACTAGATGGGGATGTTATAAAGTCACAGAGCTATTGGCCTTGTGGATGGGTCAGCCGAGGCAACTTTCGAATCGAAACCCAGAGCCGGGGATGCCAAGATGCGCAGTTCATCACCTCGTAGGTTGACGTTTGATTGCTTTTGATGGGATGGTTCAACATATTTCAACAGTGTATCTTGAGACACCGCAGAAGATCGACAGGCTCAACTTGCTTCCAGATGATTGTGAGGTTGGGCTGGTTCACGCCTGATCAAAAGTGACCTGAAACAATTAGCATAATTCCATATAATTAATCCCCATAGAATCCCTATATAACCACCTCAGTTCCCTTGGGCAGCGGTCTTTTGCTGGGTGTATCTCTCATCTCGCGTCCAATGTCTGTTGCCACGCTGCAGGTCGAACTTCGCCTTTTGTTCGTCAGTTTGCTCTGGAAAGCCCGGGCCAGACTAGCGAGATCTCGTGAGATCTCGCCATGACGAGATGCGGCGAATTGTGCAAGTCCTTTGCGGCCGTTGTTGGAGATTAAGGGCAACCCATATTTTTTTACTGATCGCAGTTGCAGATGTTAGAGGCATACTCAGCATACTAGTTGAAGCCGGGTAGTTCAGGAATAGAAGTCAGCTTTGGATTGGGAAGAATCTTTGGAGTCATTTTGGAATATAAATATTTGCGTATATATTTACATTGATATATAGAAAATATAAAACATATTGATTATATATATACATACATTATATATATATTATGTTATATATACATATGAAATGTACAACTGTACAAATCAATTGAATTAAATAGACATCATTCATATATCCGTACACTACATCAGTGGAAACACATTACGTTTGTGATTTTGTGTGCCTTTTACGGTCCAGTATTTGTCATGCTTATCCGCTTGGGGTCGCAAGGAATTTGCAGAAGTGGAGTCGCAATCTTCAGCTGTTGCCAGTGACTCGTGGCGTCAGAAATCATGACGCACCAGTCGTTGAACTGACAAAATCATCGCCAGATCAAGTTCGGTCTCAGATGTCATAGTTGCTGGTGGTGTTTTTTGGGTTTTCTTATTCAACACAGCGCTTGCTCCTGTTGTAATCCAAGTGGCTAAGTATAGTATAGTGACTTTTGTCTACAAGAAATTCAAGCTACAAGCAAATGTATGCAAATGTGCTTGCTGGACCACGAATTCCCCGCACCGAAGAAGAATGGCATTAGCTTGTTGGTAGCAAGTGGCTTTGTCTCAAAATGGAGTACGTTCAATTCCAAGGGATCTTCACGAGTTTCCCCAGTAAAATGGGACCTTTGGTACATACATACCCAGTCTCAGACAAACCCAGGTCAGCGCATGTTCCTTTTGACAGTGCGAGCATTTTGCTGCAGAGGATTCAACTATTGAATCGTGGTGGAAACTGTGGCTGGTTGAACCAAGGATTGTTCGACTCCAAAAGTCTGAGGTAATCATATGTTTATATTTTTTGTTCACATTCGTGAAGCCTTCACCAAAAATCAGATTCATCTAGAGGTTTCGGAGAGGTTTCACATCTCATTATCAAAAATGAAACCCATCCTCACCATCGTGAAATTGCATCCTCAACAAGAAAATCTCAAGAAGCTGCCGATTTTGGAAGGCTCCGGCGCCACCTCCTTCACCGGCTTCCCAGAAGGAGGCGATTCGTTGAGTCGGTGATCAAAGCTGGGCCGTTCCAATGGATTTGGTCATCTTGTACTCAAGGTATATGGAATTTGTGCTAGTGCCATACTAGGACTGGTGTTGTAATGCATATGTGTTGTGGTGCTCTAAATTTTCATTATTTTTGGTATTTTTTTACTATCATTATTGTTGTTATTATTATTGTGTATATATATGAGCAACCGTAAAAACCCCGGCAATACTAAATATGTATTCGACGGACATTGGTTTATGGAAATTGATGGAAATTGTTAAAAACACGAGGTAAGCGATGGGACCTTCCCAAATTAGCGATACCCCTTTTCAAGGTTATGTCATCATATGTCTCTAATATCCACATTAGTGATACCCAAATATCACATATTATTCATAGTTCATCACATATATATATATATAAATGCAGCAGTTTCCTGCAAGCGATACCCCCCAAGTTTACCATATATCATTATTGTACAAACGTGTGGTAAGCGATGGGACCTTCCCAAATTTGTGGATGTCCTTTCCGTGAACCTAGGGTTTTCACAATCGCTCATATATATACACGTATATATATATATATACATATACATACATTATATATGCAATTATAATTATATACATACATTTTTTAAAATGTATGTCTAATTATACTGCATTTACATTGATGATATATTATGTATATATATATATGTGTATGTGTATGTGTATGTGTATATGTATGTGTATGTGTATACTGTATGTGCATGTGTATGTGTATGTGTCTGTGTCTGTGTATGTGTATGTGTATGTGTATGTGTGTTGCACATATAGTACATACATGTGTATGTGCAAATAGATAGACAACGTGGTTCTGTCCAACACATATACCTTGTATTTCACAATCCCAAAATCATATTCCCCGTCCTTACACATGTCCAAGCCGCCCAACCTCAACTGACTGGTATCTCCAAACTTTGTGCTCTGGTTTTCAGGCAATCACACAAAAATTTCAAGCTCTATTGGCTGAAGGTGCTCCTGGAGTGGGACTGTGGGACTTTCATGACTTGACCATCCAGGCATAGATTAACACACTTCGATATAGGTAGTTCCAGAGCATCAAAATCAACGTGTCTTCCAGGAACTACATGACCAATAAAAGTCCAATTTAGGAAACTGGAGCTAGATTTTTAGTGTGCAAACTCAGTCGTTTCCATTTAGTGACCTCCATTAAAAAACAAAAACATGTCCCTTCCATTGGGCCATTTGGGCGTCAATTCCCAGTTGCTTTGAGTCAACACTTCCAAAGTCTTGTTGCTTCAACAATGAAAGTGCTAAAGCCAATGCCATAAACAACTACCATTTGGCAATTTGGGGATGGTTGGAAAACCCTTGTGTAAAAACTGCTGACTTCGGGATATGACCTGCTGGGTTTCTCACATGTCCAGCCGGTGAAACCCCTTCGTACGCCAGGTCTTCCACCGAATGAAGCAGCTTTGGAGGCCATCAGGCAGGACAAATCGCGAACGAGTCAGGACAGGTGGTCTGGGAGACTCAAATCAGTGCTCCCCTGAGCCTTAAATCTTGACCCATGCCCATATTGTTCCAGATGTTGTCATGGTGTTGTAATACTGTACAGTTAACAGCTAGAGCTTTGGAGAATTTCGCTCCATATTGTTCAGTATTACACAGTATTACAACTTATCCGCTCCATTGTTCGCCGTTTCTTTTAACGTTGCAAGCTCAGATTTTTCCCACGGGAAGAATTCAAGACTACACGGACGAAGACGATGAATATGGGATGGGTAGCTCACCTAATATCGAGAGGATATTATTTCTACATATTTCTTCATATATATGCATATCATTTAATGCATATCATTTAATTATATACATATGCATATATACATATATATGAAGAAATATGTAGATATTTAATATATATATATATGCATTTCATATATATATATATATGCATACCATTTAATTATATACATATGTATGTATATATGTATATTGTCGTAAACCCGATAGTAACCTTGAGTTTAGGGGATGGTTTATTATTGGATTTGCCACATTATCAGTATATCATTTTGATTGATTGAGTGTTGCAATTTCGCGGATAGATGGATATATCGATCCATGGATAGATTTAACAAAAAAAATGTTTGATATTGGCATGTTTTGTTGGTTGCATTCCCATCCCTGGTCAGCTCAGAAGCTACCTGGGTGTAGAACAGGTCGCGGGGTTTGATGTCAGGTTTCCGCTTTCCGGTTTTTTTTTATTTACACACACACAATATAAATATAAATCCTAATATATGTGTATATATATACATATATATATATATGTATGTGCCGCAAAACATTTTTTTTTCTGTAAAAGGGATTGTTTTTCCGGTTATCCCCCATGAATAGAGAATCCTAATGACGGTGGGCTCATCATACCCAATATGCCGTGATATACCGTCATATGCTGTAATATATCGTACTGTACAATAATAACAATAATAATGATAATAATACTGTAATCACAACAAAATCTAACATACTGTGTATATAGTCTAATATAAACACAATGATAGTAATAATACACATACACATGTTTTATTCAATATGATAATAAACACAATGTAATAATAAATATAATATAATATAATATAAACGTATCCAATGCGGATATCACAAGGCTGGTGAAGGAAGCTCCAGAGGCTCCGGAGGCTCCACAGCCTGAAGAGGTGGGATGGGAAATCCTGCTTCAACGGATGGGCTGGTGAAAATCATTTTAAAAATGGTGATTTAATCGGATTTAATGGTGATTTGATGGCATTTAATGGTGATTTGATGGGATTTAATGGGATTTCATGGTGATTTAATGGGATTTAATGGGCTTTATATAATGGTGACTTGATGATTTGATGGGATTTAGTGGTGATTTAATGGTGATTGAATGGGATTTAATGGTGATTTAATGGGGTTTAATGGTGATTTAATGGTGAGTTAATGGAATTTAATGGTGATTTAATGGAATTTAATGGTGATTTAATGGAATTTAATGGTGATTTAATGGGATTTAATTGTGATTTAATGGTTATTTTATTGGTGATTTAATGGTGATTTAATGATGATTTAATGGAATTTAATGGTGATTTAATGGGATTTAATGGTGATTTAATGGGATTGAATTGTGATTTAATAGGATTTACAGTAACTCTGAATTAATGATGTCTTAATGATGAACTAATATTGTCTTAATGATTCTCTCTATTTGGGGGTTTCCATACATGGGGGTACCCCAATAGCTGGATGGTTTATTTCATGGTGCCCCATTTTAAGACACCCCCATGTGTAAATGGATCGGTCATTGCAACTCGATTAGACCATCATGCTTATATAGATCATCTCTGAATGCTGGATTTTAGATTGCTAGGTGACATTGCCAAAGGGCAGCTGGAGAAAAATGGTAAGCCAACCAACCGGAGAACCAACCCGCAAAAATGCGGCCCGCCTGAAATATGATGTTCCCTTCGGAATTGGCAATTATTTTTTCTGCGATTCCATGTTGGCTTTTGGGGGCTGTTGCCATGCAGAAGACACGTTGGCAGAAGATGGCAGAAGAAAATAGAAATGAGGCACAAGTTAAGCCGGCAATGACATCACATCAGTTTGGTCCTTCGAACTTCAGTCAATTATCACTGCTCCAAACTGAAAGGATTAGTTCCAGTTGACAACATTACCATGTTTGGAATGAGTTGAAAGTAGAAACCGTTCCACAACAAATCAGACACAAACATAAAACCATCGATAATTTAATGAGTTCATGAAGACACATTGGATGTTTAATGCATGAAGTCCATTCATATGTTGTCCCCAGGAGCTTGAAGTTCCATGCCCAGGAGGACCCAAGTTGGAGTTGGAAGTTGTGGGGCAAGACACTTTTCTTTTCCACAGAATGCACTGGAAGTGATATTACAAGTTGGAGTTAGTCATTTTTCTAACTGTTTTGAAGTCCGGTCATAGATACACCTAGACATACATGGAATAGATGGCATACTTGAATGGAACTGCCGCAGAAACACCTTTGTCTCTGCAAAGTATTCTTCTGGTGATTGGATGCGTAAGATTTTGTGTTTTTTGTGTGCGCCTTCCCAGCAACCATCCGTTCATGTAGAAGCAAATGCAGGACCCTACACGTGCTTCATTTGCACTGAGGCAATGGGGGATCCGCCTGCAACAAAAAAGTTCAGCTCGCCTCTTTTTTGAGTTCCCGCTGTTAAGAAACGTTCATTATCCATTTTTGGTGAAAGGAAAGTGAAAGGACGCATTCACCGTGCGCGCATCCATGGCTGTTGCCATGGTAGCGAAGGCAAAGACAGAAGCTGAGCGCTTCTTACCACACAGGCGGGCTGGAAGACTGTCGTCATCACTTGTCGTCGTTGTCATTCTGACAGTCCTCTTCCTCATCATCCTGATCATCATCCTGATCATAATCCTGATCATCATCCTGATCATCATCATGTGGTTAGTGATATCACCATTTATGCATGTTCATTTCTTCAATCAAACATGAACATTGATGCAGAATGATAGAATTATACTTCAGTTATTCTTAATTGTTCAACTATTAACTATGATATATATATATATGTATATACATAATTGTATACATATATATACGTATATATATATATACGTATACATATATATATATACATATATATATATATATATACATATATATATATATACATGACATGTCACAATTTACATAAGTAACTTTTGTATATGGTATTTGTATTTGACTTGTAAACAACTTATACTCTTCATATTCTACCACGACTTTCCCAGGACTTTCCCTGCGCCAGGTGCTCTGTGGAGCCTGAAGCTTTGTGTTGTCGGCCCTGTTTCGTGATGTGGGACGGGGGACCAAGGGACCGAATGCTGCTGATCCGTACCGAATCATGGTTAGTAATGTTTAGTACTGGTATATAATATATAATGATGTCTTACATAATAATATGATTATAGTCAGTTCAATTTTGGAAATACCGCAATTGTACATAGTTATATCTATTGTATTTGTTGTTCATGTTGTCTACATTTTTACTTTTATGTGTAAAGTATATTCGAAGCACTTGGGGTATGAATAGCGCTATGTGAATATTACTGTACCAATGCATATGTAGTGTGTGCGTATATATATATATATATATACGCACACATGTAAAATACACATATAGATATGAGCCACCGCAAACACCCCGGCAATACTAAATACTGTATGTATTGGACGGACATTGGTTTATGGAAATTGATGGAAATTGTTAAAAACACACGGTAATCGGTGGGACCTTCCCAAATTAGTGATACCCCTTTTCAAGGTTATGTCATTGTATTTCTAGTAGCAGTTTCCTGCAAGCGATACCCCCCAAGTTTACCATATATCATTATTGTACAAACGTGTGGTAAGCGATGGGACCTTCCCAAATTTGTGCATGTCCTTTACGTGAACCTAGGGTTTTCGAGATTGCTCATATATATATATATATATACATACATACATATAATTATATATATATATATACGTATGTGATATTGTTCATTGTGAATCTATACACATATGTGAGGGTATGAACGATGGATGTAGATGATGGATCCTAGGGCATCTGATCACTCCATGCAGAGTGCCCCACAAATGCCATGGCACTGGGAAGTACCTTTTATGTTTTGAGTCGCCAGGAATATCAGTAATCAAACGCCATTTATAGATGATTTTCCCATGTATAGATGATTTTCCCATCCATTTCTAGATGATTTTCCCATGGAAAAGCCACCATTTATACCCTCTGGTAAACGTTTACATAACTATGGAAAGATCCACCATTCTTATTGGGAAAACTCACTATAAATCACCATTTTCAATAGCTATTTTGACATAACCAGAGGGTAGATGATTTTCCCATCCAAGGGATTTCCCTATGGCCAGGCCATGATCCATTTCTCAACCTGAGGTGCAGTCACAAGTTGAGGCGGATTCGCCCCATCTCCGCTGCTGTCACTGCGATTTGGTTCGTCCCTCAGAGAGATATCGAAGGTGATATCAAGCCCAAAACATCGAAGGGTTAGGCAACCATGACTGGAGGTCTCTAGATTATCAAGTTGATAATAGTTCTAATAATTAATTAGAATTGTTACATAGAACTACTATTATTGTTAGTTTATTGTTAGCTTATACCTATAATAGGTTATCAACTGATTTATTTATGACAATATATGATAATCAACCCCAATTGAACATGGATTGTTACGACTTGCCAACGCCAACCAAGTTACCGTTTGCCCGTCATAAGTGTTCGTTCTCGTAGCGTCTCAGGAGCTGTCCACTCGAGTCCTTCAGCACTTGATCGATGAGGAGCATTGGCAAAGGCGAGAGGCTGAGATAGGTATTTAGATGTACTTAATGGGATATCAATGTGGATGTACTAGGACATAATTATAACCAACATTAGTATACATTAGTCAACAATGGTTGGTATTTAATCCCAATGGATCCAAATGCCTTCTCAGATGGTACTTGACCCCCTAAATCATACCCAAACCACTTTCTCAGAAGCTATTTGGATGCATAGGGAATGGGATCTTCATGTGGTGCAATTGGATATATAATCAACATCAATCAACAAACGTGGAATCTGGCTGAATTATATAAATCATCCCATGTCTAGGGTTTTTTTCCAAGGGAATATCATCAACGATTATGGTGTACATATGGGGGACCATCCCCGAATGACCGGTAAGGGATCAGGGTTGCACCCAAAGATTAAACATGTTTGTCATACGTGCCCGTGGCTGCACCAGTACTGCATATGGCATATCACAAAGAGCGCAAGGCATCTCGTACCATTTGATGTGCACTTTTTTGGCAATGAACAATGTTTCAAGTCTTTTCAATGGCCAGAACCTTTCTTGCTGCAGATTGAAACCTCCTTGTCAGACCAACACAATGGTGATGAATTGGTATGAATTGTGATGGAAATACTCACAGCGAACGTTAGCATATTATGAATGCCTTACATGTATGTATTTATGATTTTTTGCATATCATATATATATATATACATATATATATATATATGTATTGTTTAAATTTATGTTATCGATATACATAATCATATCTACGCCTATTTGGAAGATGAGCGCCATTTGTCTTGACCCCTAGCTTTGCTAAGATACTGCGATGCTGCCTTGCAAAGAAATCTGAAGCGCGATGTGCACTTCATTTGGTGCAGCAAGTTCCCTCCTCAGGTCTTGCCATATGGCAGGAAGACGCAGGAATATATATATATATATATTGTAAACACAATAATAAACCCACTTGTGGTTTATTTTCGGGTTCCCATGTGGTATGTAAAACCACCCTTAAAATGGTTGGTTACCGCACAGTTGATGATTGGGTTTGCGGCATGATGACTTTGTCGTCGTGTATTTTCGATGGGAGAAAAGCAGAGATGATGTGCACACATGTGTGTCTCATTCTTTCGAAGATGGTACACATCAATGTCTATTCCTACACACTCCAAATAATTACCCCCAAAAACGGTTTTAAAGTACAGTACTAAAGATTAAAAATTATGGGATGAAACACTGTTTTTGTGGGTACTTAGAGGGTCTAGGTTAATATGTTCACACTGCAAAAGTTGACAACTGAGTGGTTTCAACTCTTCCTTTTCCCACCATCAGTTTACGGGCTTCAGGTGTTCAGGTGGCGGCTGGGTAGATACCAGGTGCGCGAGTTTTGTGGGGAAGTGGTGGCCATTTCCGGCCTTCCGAATTACGGATAGCATGATGTGTGCCATTGGAAAGGACTCCCATGGCGGAGGGTCATAACCCCAGTATTGGAACATTAGGTACCCTGTCTCCTAGGTATGTGAGATATTTTTTGGATCTGTCAAGTTGTGATCCCTCAAGTTCTCCGGTTGGTGCTAAGGCAACGATCATGATATGTGTATATATATATATATACACCAGGATATACCAGGTACATAATCATATCTCTGAAAATAAGTACACAAATAGAAAAGTTAATCATTATGTTAGAATGTGTAGAATGCCACGAAACATGTTTATAAGAACATATAATGACCAAAGAACACAACAACATTTATATATGAATTCTATGTTTTGGGGGTTGACACATATGATGTATTTTTTTGGCATTTTCTTGCTGCATTTGTGAAAAGGGACACCGTATATATCTTACTCCGCTCTCCAGGCATCCCATTTCCAGCTGTGGCTGGTGCTGTCCAGAGTGTGGAACCTGGGTAACCTGGTCCCCAATCGACTAAAAAAAAGCTTGGTGATGTGTCATGATTTTCTGAAAAAACATGATACTGGCCTCACTGGAATCATGGAAAAAATCAGAGGAATCATCCCGAAATGGCCGCAAGATTCAGGTTAGTGAAATATTCTAATTTACCCAGATGATATATAGCTACGTGAATATAGTTAGTTCTTACAGTTCTTACACATTGTTTTATTAAGTTACATATTATCGTTGAAAATGTAAATCAACACTAGCAGTGGGTCAACACATGAACTGCGCACCTTTGGTCCTCGTGGCACCCAGCTGGGCGAAGTGTCAAAATCAGCAGATCTGGGATGGTTTGCTTTCTGAAATGCTACAGTAAAACCAAGTACCCTGGTAATTTAACATAGCTATTGAAAATGGCAAGTTATAGTGGATTTTCCCATTGAAAATGGTGGATCTTTCCATAGTTTTTTGTAAACGTTTACCAGAGGGTAAACCCAAAAAACACATGTGCTGTAATCTGTTTCCTGGGCTTCAAGCATTGATCCAAACTTATCCAAACTGTATCGCGCCCATCGATGTCGAACTGATCCGCTTGATGAATCCTTGAGGTGCTCCAACACCTTTGTGTACTGCCCACAATGCCGCAGGTGTGGAAAACGAAACGCCATGGTTTTTCAGATAGGTCGCCGAAAAATCTGGTTAGCTGGTTCATCATTGTTTCCACACGGTTTTCTACCCTCTGGTAAACGTTTACAAAAAGCGAACTGGAAAATCACCATTTGGAATAGGTACATCAACTATTTCTATGAGCCATTTTCAATAGCTATTTTGACATAACCAGAGGGTAAGACTGAGAAAACCTGCACTGGTTCATCAAACCCAGGCCCAGGCCCCGGGCGTCTAAGAGGATTGAACCACCGAAGATGGTAGCTGAACCGAAAAAACATCCATTGTTTTAAGTGACAGTGTGCCATGGTCAAGTTACATGTTATATATTGCTATATTATATCTGTGATGTGATACTGAAGTTACATGAACTTACTAGACCTTGCGAGGTTCGTGAAATTGGTCAATTCTTGATCCATACCGCCAGGGATCACGGCAGTATCAGCTGCAAGAAGTTCCAGAGACTCCGCAAGGAGGCCCCTGTGAATCGTGGTGATCCACCTCTGAAGCCGTTGTTGAACAATGGTGGATTCCTTCATTTTGAATGGGGAAAAACATGGAAAAAACGCAAAAAACCATGGTGATTCATGGTGATTCATCAGATTTTTCATGGGAAAAACATGGGAAAAACCCTGAACATTCCCATCGACCCTCGGTGACTCCTGGTGATTCAAAAATCTGCGTCGGCGGAGCTTTGTTCAGCACCGCCAGGTCATGGGGAAGCAATCCAAGGACAAAGACTCCGAGGTTTCTCGGACCGAAAACGGCTTCAACATGCTTCAACGATGGGAAATTTTGTGAAGAAGTTGCTACCACAAGAGGCTCCAGTCTCTATTTTGTTTTGGGCACCACAAGAGATTTAGTTTTTTTTTGCGGTGAAGGCTTAAATGCTTGCAAGTTGGGCTGTTTACTTGATGGGTGAAAATGCGGGTTTGAAACCTGCATCCATCAGAGAGGTTTTGTCCTCTGGGTTTCGCTGAAAATGGGGAACCACCAATTCCATAGTTAATCATTTGTTTTACAATGTTTTACATATTTTTGCAATCAAAATGGTTATTTGTAAATATACCCCATTTTCAGACCCCCAAGTATCTTATTTTTGTTGGTATACTTAATGAATCTGAATGATTGGGGTAAGTTTTGGACGCACTTTGCCACTGGATTCAACCAGTGTCAGGGCATGGTTCAGCGAAGTTCAAAGAGTTGTCCTTCATGTGTCTTGGCTGTTGAAACCGTTGAGTTTGTCGAATTGTCCATGGACATACATAAATATGATGCACTATAATACAACTTTGGAATAGAAGTATATAATATATATATATTATTGATATATACTATATCAATAGATCCGAGATTTTCCATTGCCATGTCTGTTGTCCAGAGTGCAACACTCAGGGGCGTTACGAGGCAAATCTTCAAACAGACGAACAGACGATATTGGGAGATAACCAACAATTGACTGTCGAGATGGGTTTATGCAACGCACTGAATGGGAAAAATGAGCCTTGAGCAAGTAATACTGTATTGAACTGAAAAAACATGGGGAATTTGGGGGTAGTCCTCTATTGAGCGGACTGCCCAGCGCGGGCAAAATATAGCTTCAACTGGAAAGTCAAAAATGAAGAGCCTGAGACACTACATGTCCGCCATTTTTGGGATCAGACTGTCCCAATTGCATACCCGAGGCAACGGAAGTCTGAAATGGGTGTCCGAAAATACCTATAGTGTATATCCTTACAGTGGCATTTTTTGGGATTGTGATGATTATATATTTATCATCAATATACCCCAAGTGTTAGCATATATGCCAGCACCACGGATCCGTCATGGGTAATGAGTTGATTTTGCCAGGGTTTTGCCATAGTTTTCAGACTTCAATCCAACTGCGTATGTCACGGTTTCACGCTCCAACTTGTTGAGGTAAGATGCCCATCCAAAAGGTGTGGGGCCGAAGTTTGGGCTGATTTGCGGTGGAGACCACGACACATTAGTTTGTTGCCAGGCTCAACTGAATATGCACATGGAGGTACATATACAAACAAATGTGGATATATACGTGTATTTATATGGAATATAATACACACTATACATATCCAGACATATATAGATGTAAATAATATACAAATACATGCATATTAACATATGTACCCACACGTTGTTTCCGTCCATTACAAGGCTTGCCAAATATGCTACTACTTTCAAATCAACCAGTTTTTTCTGGGGGTTGCCAAGGTCATGTGGGATGCCAACTTGGCATCTAAGCTGGTCATTCCCCTAAACCATTCGGGTTGGTCATACAATGTACACATAATATGCATACATATATACATGGATCTGGCTGGTGGTTTGGAACATTTTTTTGTTTTCCATAATATATGGGATAATCCTTCCCATTGACTAATATTTTTCAAGATGGTTAAAACCACCAGCCAGGTATGTATGTGTCCGCTCTATCTCCATGAAATCAGCACATTAACTGACCCCGGATTCCGTTGCCGCAACGCCCCAGGATGGTGGCTGCAATTACATGGATTGTCCCAATTGCCGTCGGCACTTCTGCTGGAGCTGCGGTCAGGGGCCCCGAGATTTTCTGCGGGGCTCAGCGAAGCGAGCGAAGCTTGGCTGGTCAATGAGTGGCTCCAGATTTTCTGTCATATCATTAGGCCATTAAAATGAGTAAAATTAGGAGATCACCTAATGAATTAATCTTACATGGCTATCATCTGTCATAAAGTAGGATTTATAGCCATGTAAAATGAGTAAAATGTGCTGGTGGGTGCGATCAACTCACGTTGATGGGATGTCCAGGAAGGTTTCACCAGCAGTTCATCGAGAAACCGTTTGGTAATTTAACATGGCTATGGCAAATCAATGCAAATCACAGGTGTTTAATAGGTAGATCAGTAAATCATCCATAAAGTTGTCTTTTGCCATAGCTATGTTTAATTACCGGAGGGGATATAAAAGTTTGTCTGAAAATGAGGTACCACATCGACCACTTTGCCTTGATGTCGCTGTACTGCAGATTTACTACTGCAATTTTGTTTGATATGGGCTGTCGCTTTGACTTGACTTCACAAGTATCAAACCTTTGTTTGAAGTCCTTGCGTGGTCTTAATGCTGGCTATGTATCTATAAATAGCAGCACTAGTGCAGATTTTTCCTACCGATGCGCATTGCACGTGTATATACATATTATGCATGTTGTATATGCACATACTTGTTTGTTTGAACATCTGGTTTCCTAAATCCAGTGCATTGTCATCATTTTCCCGCTTCAAATGGCCACAATTGACGGTATTACAGCAGTTTCAGACTCACCCATAGATCATATGATGGGTATATATACAGGAAAACAAAACGTACGATTAGATACCCATTCTTTGAACCCATTCCATTTTGCTCACCATGTTTATCATCATCATCATCATCATCATCATCAGCATCATCAATATCAATATCAATATCAATATCAATATCAATATCATTTGTTTAAAGATATCTATACATATCTATACACATATGTATATATATATATGTATACAGATATCCACATATGTACATGTTACATGTGTATAGAAATATATACCTGCACCGCCCAGTGGTACAGATAACCATAAATGTGTACTTTTAGGGTGTTTGGTACACTTTTTTGGTAAACGGGCAGATTCTGAAAACAACCTCATTTTCGAGCACATTTTTGAACAGGTAACTGTGTGGACATATTTTTCCAAGTGGCTAATAATGGCTATGATCTGTGCCGTTTTCAGTTTTGCCAGCCCCTTCCCAACTTGTGCTCAAACATATACGTCCAAATCAGCCCTGTTGGCAAGCATGTGGCTGGGTTTGAAGCCTAGTTGGCCTATATAGTTACTTTCACAATGTGTTTGTTGAAAGATGACATGGGCACAGATGATGTGACCAACATGCAGCTATTAATCTGTGCAAAATATCCCCATACCCCATATATAGCTTTACCATGATTTACTTCAATCAAAAAGCAAGGCTGCTGCGCACGATATTGAAGACGTTCTTGTTTCCATGCATGACTGGATGCATGACTTATTTTTCAGATGGTTGCATCTGATTCCTCCTCCAGGATGAAAAACAGAAATTATTTTCCGCTCGCTGTGAAATGTTTGAAGCCCTGCCCATGGGTAACTCATGGCACGACGCGCAAGTGCTTGATGCATGGGACTATACCTAGAGACTCGAGCGGCATCAAAATTTTGATGCTGGTCTAGCAAAACAGTGTTTCATCTGATTGCCGCTGAAATTTCTGGCATGCGCCGTTCTTTGGGAAACAAATATGGTTTTAGATTTTGGTGTTGGAATGCGCCGTTTTTGCCAATGATTGCACCGTTTTTGCCCGTGATTGCGCCGTCCTTGCCCGTGCAGAATTTCCATTGCGCCGTTTTTGTGGAATTGCGCCATGTTTTCTACATTGCGCCATTCTTGTGGACTTGCGCCTGATTTTTTTGTAGGTTGGGAATGCGCCCGAAATTTTGGATACATGAGTCTCTAGGTATGTGGAAACACCTCATGGCAAAAGTAGCCGGCCTGTGGCATGGCTGTGCATGACAAAGTTTGACCGTGAACTCTGTGAAACACGGTCAGGTTGACGTTTGCTTGATGAAAAATGGTGCCTTGCATTAGGTCGGCTTTGACATGCATGATGTTGACATTTTGCGCCTGATATTATCCAAGGGTCTTGCGCGAAACGGGCGCGAAAACGCGCGAAACGGGCGCAAAAAGGCGCGAAACGGGAGCGAAAAAAAAAGTGTACCACTTGACCCTCTTGTTTTGACCGTCATGACGTGTCGCGTGTTTTTGAAAACCCTTTTTACGCATGGTCCGAACAGAAGGCATGGTCCGAAGAGAAGGCGCCGCCATGTGGTCTTGAGCTTGTGGGGGGCATGTTGTTTCAGTCTGAGCCTAGCCAGTTCTTCCATCGCACCGTTTAGTTTCATTTCCGTTTTACTTGGACTCCCGGTGCGCATGTTTCTGGATTTTGCCGCGTGTAGTGTTCATCTTATATATGTTATGTATTTGTTTGTTGTGACTGTGGTGTTTTTGTGTTGAATGTTGAATGTTGAACGCCCTGCATGAGGATTCTTCGTGTGAAAAAAAATGCCCGACTGTTGATGTGGTGTTGTGAAAATTGCGCTATAGCTGAAGGTTGTTTGCTGGAGGTATCTTGGCCTATGAAAAACATACGTGATGTTGAGGTGGATACTTTAGATTTACCCTGTCCAAAGCTCGGTTGTTTACATGTGCTGCGATGCAACCCATGTTGTCAGGCGTGTTCGAGGTCGTATTTGGCATGCTGCACATGCATTAGCGCGTAACAAAAGTGTCCTATCGAGCCTTTGGGGAAAGAATCAGGTTGATTACTATGGAGAGCCACGGAACTTCGGACACCTTTTTTTTTCAGACCCTTAAACGGGCACATTTTTTGAAATCGGGCACAAAAAAAAATGGTACACATTTTTGTGTACCAATGGGAGGTTCAGGTATATATATAAATAAAAATATATATATATATATAATATACACATATTATACATACCTGGAACCCCCAAACAACCAGAAGGACAGGGTCGTTTCCCTATGGTAGTGAAGAATCCATACACAAAAAGGGGTTCTTTGGGGAAACCACAAACCACCCCTTTTTTTCTGTTAGGGGTCCAGGCATCTATATAATTATATATATATATATATACACTTACATACATACATGATGTATAACATACAGACACCTCATTTGCCGAAGCACACGATGCTTTCCGCGCTCGTTTTTTTTTTAGGTCAGATCATGAAGGCCTCGCACCAGGCGAGAGATCGCACCAGGTGTATGGTGTTTTTTTTTGATTTCACCAACAAGAATGAGTGGTATCAAAACATGGTGATTTAGTGTGATTTATTTTTAGTGGAATTCAAGCCATGAGCAGAGATTTCACCAACAAATATGATTAGAAGATTTAATCGGAACAAAGGGATACATACTTGTCTGAAAATGGGGTATACCCCCAAATATGTTCGTAGCATCTGAGTTTTATTGTTTTTGATATTGCAACTTGTTGCAGGGTATTCAAGGTTGGATTCGCTATAACAAGTGGAGTTTTGAATCAGAGGTGATGTTTGCCCAGAACCATGGAACCAGAAGCAGCAACTGGTTGAACCATCATCCATGTGGTGGAAATCACCAACAACTTGGGGTCAACAAGTAACTAAGGCTTAGAATCCACACGAATCCATTTTGTTTTTCCATCATATTCCAGTCTGATGTGTATTTGTGGATTCAACCTATACAATACCTATACATACCTATACTAGCTATACATATCCATACTATGAACTTCACAAAACCAAGCAGAAATATCCCGAAATGATGAAACTTCCCCCATCCCCCATCCGGGCCAATCCGGGCGGAGGCTCATGACTGTGATGCCGGTTTCGAAGCCTCCGAGGCGAGGTCAACTGCTTGCGGATGGTACGAATTGACGCTACACACCGCACAACATTTGATCATTCATATACTGCCTATACAGTACACATACTATACTGTATATATATATATATTTATACAATCATATTATATATATATACATATATATATATATACACGCATATAATGATATATATATATACATATAAAAAATATATGTACACAGACAGACATAATGCCTGCATAGTACAAGTCACTTTGTAAAGTGAATAGGTGGTCGCGAGATGTAGACATGCAACTATCCTGTGCTATCCTATCAGATGGCATTTGCTGTGCTTTTCACTTGGTCGTTCCTACAGATGTCAGGCTGTCAAGTGTGCTTTGTACCCAAGTCCTTTTGGACACTCTCCGCTTCGAACCGTTTAACATCAGTATAATAGAGTATAGTATATCATATTGGTATATTACGATATAAGATCTGGTTTGTTTATGGTCTATATCATATGGTCTATGTATTGTCTATAATATATATTCTGTACATGGTCTATCATATCCGGTACATATAACATATGAAATATGATGCACTGTTTGGTGATCTATTGATAGGATATTATATATATACTATTATATTGCTGTATATACACTATTATTTACTGTTATGACTGTTATGTTCTATTATATATATATGATATTATGATGTACTATTTTATACTATGTTATATAGGTCTTAGATATGATGCACTATTTCATTGGCATTTTTGGTTCTGTTGATCCTAGAGACAATTATCTTCTATATAGATATTATTTACTATATAGATATCACATCTGCTATGATACGATACCCAAACAAAATATGCTGTCGCCATACTTCGGCTCCAGGTGGTGGCGAAAACGTCGCAAGGCCGCCCCTGCGTGGAGTTGACTAGGTGCCACTGCAGGGTCTTTTCGTCGTTTCGTTTGCTGTGGCGAAATGATGTGATTTTTAGGACCAACAAGAATGGGGAGTATGACGAAATGGTGTTTCACTGGGATTTAAAGATGATTTATATTTTATATATTATATATATTATATATATATATAATATGATGGGATTTAATCATGGTTTTATGCTGATTGAATGATTATTTAATGCTTGTTTCATGTGATTCAAGCCATGGGCATAGTGATATTTCACCAACAAGGGAATTTGGGTGTAGAACCAACTGTATGGGGATTTTCATGTTAACGTAGCGGAACTTGAATGGTCACCAGCAATTTTTTATATGTGGGTCTGAAAATGTGGTTTACCCCCAAATGGCAATTCCAAGACGGATGGATTGTAGGCCGACGTATTCAAAAAAATGTGGGCCTAAAAAGAAACTTGTCAACCCACAAAGTGTTGTATCCATTTTTGTGATAGGATATGTGCAGTGCTTGACTAGCCTGGCTTCATCATTTTGAGTATTCTAAGCTACGCTTCCACCCCACCTGGGATGATATTTTTCGATGGCTTGACATCACAAATCATCACTATATATTCAGATAGGAACTTCCGAATACAGTAGAATATGATTAAAACAAACATGAAACAATTGACTCATATTTTGTATGCCTATATATCATCACATATAGTGTGATTTGGCTCACAAATGTAAAATGTGGCTACTGTAGGGTGGCTCTATCAGTGGATCCTTTCTGCTGTTGCGGGTGCAGTCGGAAGGAAAACGTGTTTTTGATCTTAGACCCAGAGTGTATGAGCAAGGTCTAATAAGAGTGTGTTTAAAGTGGGGTGTACCGGATACGGTATACCCCAAATGACAATTTTAATTGGAACATGCTGATTAAGCATCGGATATTGGGGTAGCCTATATTATATAGTTTCTTACAAACCCATGTGGTTTGATTATTGAAGCTACAGCAACGAGGCTGTTCATGAACGTCATTGACATTGATTCAGTGGACGTCTTGAACGTCGTCCGGAGACCCGATTTTGCGTGGATTGTTGACACGTTGTCGTCTGCTTAAAAATAGAAGATACAACCAAACGTGTTTTAATGGAGAACATGATTATTCATTATCAATTGTGGGTTACCCAGGGTTACCCAGTTTTCAGACAAACCCACATATATCATATAATCTTGCGTTCGGACGCATAGATATTAGAGTCGGCCAAGTCCGGCTCACATTGAGATCTGTTCTTAAATCTAGATAGACATGATAGACTATATTGCAATTAACTGGGAACGGTAGTTCTTGAAGCTGTAGCTTTCACATGGTTACACACAGTTCCTGCCTGTAATTCTGATCATGCTTATCTGAAGGGATACACATATACATACATGAAGTGCCCATGGACCGCATTTCTGGCATGAGGGTTTCTTGAAATTTGGGTTTAATTTGGGACCCCTAAAAATCATTAAAAATCACCAAAGGTAGTCATTTTGAATATGATGGTTTGGGGAGTCCCCAATTTAGGGAAGCACCTAAGTCACATTACTAGTCTGATGGACCATAATCAGAGATAGATAGTTAATTGGTAATCCCTTTCTCCTGTTTGTGGATATCCCCAAAACCAAATCCTGGTTTTAGTACGGGATCTATTTATGAATTGAGGACCCCATTAGCAGTCTTAATACGTTTGGGGGACGGGATTATACCTATTCATGAAATGGGCTAGCTACCGATAGTTGTATCACCTCTTTTGTAGGGAATGATCAACCATCATTAAAGATTTGTTACATTGAGATATCGGGGTTAATTAATGATAACCGGCAGGGTAAACCTTCGTTAAGATAAAGCCTTTGTTGTACAAAATCATTTGGTGTCGTTAAATTGCCGATTAAATTGCCTTCAGTCATCATTATAATCATTAATTTCGATCATCATTGTGGGAAAACGAGGGGATCGTGTCAAGCATCATTAACGATTTATACTACATTTTGCGGTATACTTGGATGGAACCACCAAGCATATTAGGCATATATTTGATACAAGAACGCTTTTTAGCGATATCTGAAGACCCATTAAGACCAAACATACATAAATCATGCAATATTGTATCACTGTCCCAAATTTCATATGGCATCCGTTTATGTTACCCGTATTAACTGAAAGATATTGTTTGTCCCATTGTCCCAACGAGCTCATCAATATCAGATACCAAAAATTGTAAAATGAAAAGCTAAAATTCACTATAATATTGAGAAACAAAAAACTACATATCGTTTTGTTTGGTATATTTATTTATTTATTGGTTGTCATATTGTGTCAGTTTGATATTACCATTTAATATATATATATATATATACACATACATACATAATCATAGTATAATTATATACATAATGTGTGTATATTTAATATCGACATGTAATTATAATCATCACCCTATACTATGATTGATATATTAAATCCATGATTATTGATTTTTCCATGATATATATATATATACACACCAGATATTAGAAAGATCATTGTTGATTACCTCCCAGGCTAACCCCATTAAAAACATGAAATCCTGAAACAAATCCTCGTTACAATCATATAAACATATATAAACCATGATATCCCCATGGTTCAGTTGTTACAATTTTAGGCTGGATTATAGATTCCATAAATCTACGTTTTCATCAAATGATGTACCCAGGGTCATCGAAGACAACACCTTGGGGCTCGCCAGGATCCAGAAGACGTGGAGGATTGCCGTGAGATGTTGGTGCCCAGCGTGCAGGAGGAGGTTCCCTGGGGTATTTACCCAGTGGGATTTTACGTGGGATTTAGTGATGATTTAATGGGATCTACCATGATGATTGATGGTTTAATGGTGATTTAATGGTGATTTAATGGGATTTAATGGTGATTTAATGGTGATTTAATGGGATTTAATGATGATTTAATGGTGATTTAATGGTGATTTAATGGTGAGTTAATGGGATTTACCTTCTGGTTATTTAAAATAGGTATGATAAATCCACATGTTGAAAAGCAAAGACAGGTTTTATCATTTGTTTCTATGGGCCATTTCCCATAGCTATATTAAATGATATATTTTGTTGACATGTATAGTTTTTATTTTTATTTTTTAGTTGATGACCATAACATATATAATTTTTTAGCATCAACCATATGGGGAAATAATTGATAGATTAATTGGATTTAAACGACACAACAAATAGGGCTAAAATAGGGAAGGGATGTCATGGGAATAACTTTGGGGTATACATCACCAACATATATGATGTGTGGGTGTGTATGAATTAAAATGGATAATGTTCATAGAACAGCCATTTGAATGGGGAAAATTAATTATGACAAACAATGGAATTATAGGGTACCCTTGTCAAGACAAACAAATACGATAATTTTTGCTGACAAACTTGGACTTGAGACATTTGAAAAAGTGAGAAATTGGGCATACACAAATCGGCAATTCAGCCAACAAATATGAGAATGTATTGTTTTCGGTTTGAAAGAGCTGTACCGAGGAATTGGATGATATACTGCAATTGATTTTGGGAGACCAGGATCGCAATGACACCCTGTATGATTTTTTCCTCTTGAAAAGTGTTATCTTGAATTTCAATTGTCCATACTGTTGTTTGAACGGCTGAGCAATTGATTTGTGAACCATTGAAATGCTAGAACAATTGCCGTCGTCAATCGTAGAGGTTTATGACCGGATGTGAAACGATCTGCAGCTTTCCTGTATTTTCCGTTTGAGTCTTGCCCTCTCCATCCTGGATAGGCAGGAAATAGTGGATTGATCATGTACTTTTATTATCTTTTATTGGCATGACATTTATATAAAACTTACATACTTTGTTTCGTTTGCCAAATGATCTTCCATGAATTTCATTGAATTACCCCATGTCTTTTCTGGCAAACTTCACCACGGATGCAGAAACCACACCGCGCAATCGGCACCCGTTGAGGATGAGGGGACAGGCCCTCTCTTCGTGGGGCCCAGTTTGATGGACGGCGAAATCCTCCTGAGGCGTTGACAGGGAAGATGTTGAGGAAAACCCTGGTTGGATGTCACATATGTATATGTTGATTCTATATGACATTATATGACGTGTATAGTAGGGATATGTTTATTCATCATGAAATGTATATAATTATATATATATAATTATATTTACATATGTTCTGAATATTCACATTATTTCAGATGTTGAAACTTGAATGGAATCATCTATTGTGTTATGATTGTTCATATATAGAACTGCGTATAAATATATGTACATTGCGAACACTTGAACGTTAATTCCCCACTGTAGGCTTCTTGGGGTGAAGCAGTGCTTTGCGGCGTGTTTTGGGACACATTTTGCTTATCATGTTTATTCAAGGAACATGTAAAAACCGCAAACCAATCGAAACTCATATCTTTGGGGTGAAGTTATGTAATTATCAATTTATGCTCGGAATTATGATATATTATAGTATCAGAGCAGACTATTCGAAGAACAAACTCCAGTCATACATTCCAAGTGTTATTTATAAATCTATTTGGATATATTGGGATGAATTACAGCTAATAGTCTTCATTGAAGATCTCCAACATATGGGGGGGTTGCTAAAATGGGGGATCCCCAAGGCCATAAGTTTCACTGTTAAGTCATGGTCATCCATGACTTGGATGATGACTGGGGGTACCCCCATGACTTGGGGAAGTTTCCCCCAACTGCCTGCTGCCCTGACCATCAGGCTTCCCTTCAACTTTACGAAGGCAATCTCCTGGGAGCTGTGGGGATGCTCAGAAACACCCGGCGAAATCTTCCGGATCCGAACCGGTGAAGATCTTCCGTTAAGTTCCGGGGAAAAGGCTTAAAGTCACAAGCAACCCAGCAACAACAGGTTTAAGGTGAGTTTTTTGTGGCTGGAAATTGGTGCAATAAATTTATGGTTTCCATGCCATAAGAAGTTGTTAGGACGCTATACTCCAAGCATCCCCGCAGGAAACTCGCTGTATATGATCTTGTATGAAGTAGGATAGTGTAAGCAATAGAAAGCTGCTAAGCTGCTAGACTACCAAAGATCATTGAGTATTTTTTTTATTGAGTAAGTGCTATCAAAAATCGGGCACATTGAAATCTAATTTTTACCCTGTGAGTTCTAAAGATCTTGAGCCTTGGGGATGGTGGCAATGCCATTGAATTTTTAATGTTGGAAGCTGATTAATGTAAGGCCCCCCCCAAAAAAAACATACTCTATTTATTCATTTATTTTTGTGACCAGGGGAACTCAGGATGATGAAGATTCAAGATGATGGGGGGAGCAAGATAAAGCAGCTATAATAAGAGGAATGGTGGACAAACGGTTTTTAAATTTAAGGAGAAAAATACCCCAAGAAGGGACTGGACCTACAAGAACGATCTCTTTTTCTTGGACCTGTTTGTTTTCCTCCTAGAAAGAAAAAAAACGTCTCACAATAGAGGCTTCCCCCAATTTCAGGATACTCAATTATTTTGTGTTTTTCCTCACAATTGGGTACCATCACATTAATCGGCGTCCAACATTAAAGTCAATCTCGGGGTGTCCGATGGCCATGTTAGGAGGGATAATGTATGAAAAATGACAAAAAAAATGGTAAACATGGCGACTAAGCAATACTACCCTCTGGTAAACTAACATAGCTATGGAAAATCACTATTTTTAATGGGAAAACTCACTATAAATGGCAATTGTCAATAGCTATGTTAAATTACCAGAGGGTAAACGATACAAAACATCAGTTGTTGCGGCCCCTATTTTCTGACAGACCCCTTTGTATGCTTTGATGAATCCAGTTACGATGAGTGCCCAGAGTTCCTGCGACAAGTAGTCACTTCTTCTGCGCACCTGTTTTGTAAAGTGTTTCTTCGCTCTTTGATAATTATATAATTATATACATATATATATATATGGTATGTTTTGGTACATTGGTACTGATACAGATTGATAGAGTATATCAAATCAATGTACCTATACATACAATGTATATATGTATATACATATAATACATATATATATATGTATATCAATATCATATATATATATATTATATATATCATTTTATTGCTTGTTCCATCTCCTTGAGCAAACCCGACTGCGGGTGTTGTTGAAGCAAGGACCCATTTGCATCTCCTGGCATCGCAGTCGCCCACGCCCAACTGTTCTCCGCCAAAGTCTGTCGGGTGCGGAGTCTCCACGGATGTTGGCCGGTGGATGACTAGCATTGCTGGCAGGACTGTGGATGGTTGCGAAATCCTGCACCACCAAAAGGATGTTTGAAACCCTATGAATAATGGGATAAACCATCTATCAACTGGTGCAGGATTTCGGAACCATCCACAGTAGGATGTTGTAACTCTCAGATGTATATTTAGCAAAGTCTAGTAACACAACAACATGAAATATTAGACTAGTATTGTCTGTTTAATCTTGTTGGGGGTGACTACACACCCTGACAGTTATCCCCCCATATAGATCCAGTGCATTGCGCCAAGTGCCACAGGTGGACAAGGTCTATAGTGGATATTGAAGGGTTTCCAACATGTGGACATCACATTGGGATATGGATAATATGAACATTAATATCACCATTACAATGAGAACAAGGTGCCACTAAATTAATCCAACTGCAATCTATAACATTAGTGTCACTAAATCAAACAACAAGTGTAGTCACTAAGTTTCACTAATCTTAAACGGTCTGAGGATGTCTCAAACTGTGCCCCGCTTGAAGTTGATCAACCATTGATCTCAGTTGGGCAACTGGACTGACCACCAGTCGAGCGACGATCCAGTGAAATCTTTGTGGAACATCTGTAATCCTTTGTAATGTGATTGGTTATTAAAGGTGTATGATGTTTGAGTCTTTCCATGAGATAGGCCTGAGCGTTTCTACAGCTCTTTTGTTTGCTTTAGGGGTTACCATTTCCATGATATCCATTTCCCTCACTCCAAACAACATAGACCGACCCTGCAAAAATGGCATTGGAAAACACCTGGCTCGTCTCGTGGCTGGCCAGCCACTCAGGGGTCATCAAAATTGGGTACCTCTTTAGCATTGGATTGTGGCCCTTCAGGTCTTGATTTCGATGCATACTATATGATACTATATGTTCATGCTGATATAATGTGATATATCTATAGTACAGTAAATATCAGTAAACATGATGAAGTCTAAATATATCATTAAACCATCTTAAATCATATTAACCCATAATATTAAGCCATATTAAACCTCATTACAAATCATCTTCAACCACCAATCCCTGGCATCTCACGGAACGCCAGGCTCTTGGCGAATCTTCCCAGCGCCAGCTTCAGCGATTTCGAGGACAACCGCGTGGTCGCCAAGGTGGACCTCGAGGAGACCCTTTGTGGATTCAAGATGAACAAGAATCATAATTATAATCATGATTATTTACACACATATATATCTGGGTAAATTATAACGACCTCACTACGACCTCACTGAAATGATGGTTAATAAGAGGAATCATCCCAATAATTATAATTTGCCCATATATATATATGTAAGATATAATACAACATATAAGAACCTATTATACACATATATAACTTTATATATATATATATAAGTAATTATATATGTATATGATTATTATGTACACGATTCAATGTCTGTATATCTGGATGTGCAGCGTAATGTGTCTATATGTAAATATACATCCATGATATATATATATATATATGCATGAAACGAAAGGCTGTTGGTATATGAATATTTGTATACTTACGAAGTATGCTGTGTTTTCATCACCTGTTAGTCATCGTTTGACCCATCTACGGAATTTGAGCATGACATGGAATCATGGAATGGCCGCCACTCTGTTCCAGGAATATGATGTGCCCTCCGGTACCCTCTGGTCAACATACAAAAAACTATGGAAAGATCCACCATTTTCAATGGGAAAATCCACTATAAATGGCCATTTTCAATAGCTATTTTGACATAACCAGAGGGTAATCTGTGGCCATTGAGAATCCCCAATGACCTGACTTTGACAGGACTTTTTGTACAGGTTTCCCACAGATGTGCCGGGCAATGCGGCTGGGATGATGGGATTCTCATCATCACGATTTCCCCCCCATATATCATATAATATATATATATAATGTATGTATATATATACATACATATACATATTATATATATATATATACAATATATCCATATACATATATCACATATATACAATAATTGATCCCAGTAGATATGTCATGATCCCACAAAACACCTTCAAGGCCTGGAGTGCCAGGAGATCTCTGAAGGCCTCTTTTGTGCCTCCTTGGAATCCTTCCGGACGCGAGGCGTGGCCAAACGGGATGCCACGGGAGTTTCGCCACGGGATGGTCGTTTTCCATTGTTTTGCTCTGGTAAACATACAAAAAACTATGGAAAATCACCATTTTTGATAGGTAAAGCAACTATAAATGGGCCATTTTCAATAGCTATGTTAAATTACCAGAGGGTAATAGAATATCAAGCAACATAAATTGTCAAGAACATATCTAATTCACCTAGTTGAACATTATCATTCACAACAGAAATATGGGTCAATTCAATTCGAAGAACCTTGTTTTTTCTTGTGAAACACACATGTTTGTTTTGCTACTTTTTTTTGCGGCGCAAGTGACGCTTCAGTGGAAAATTTCAGCGTCATCCCCTGGCAATTCGCTACCTTAGTGGCCTTATAGCTGTAGAGCTGTAGATTCTGTAGATCGAAAAAATATAGATGATCAACAACATATGATTTATATTATGCATATATTATATATATATATATTATTATATATTTATATGTGATTTATATTGTACAAGCATATATTATCAACAAAATATTCACATGTGTTATTGTTATTGATTGTATCCAGCCTCATAGATCCTCATGATGCGCCAAGTGACTCGAATCAAATTGTCCATGACTATTCTCAAAATGTCATTAACAGCCGTGACTCATATCCTCATTATTGTCAATCATATTCCTCTTAATTTTGTCAATAATATTGTCCATGACTAATATCCTCATTAACAAATATTAAAATAATTATGTTTCATCATTGACAAAATAAGAGGAATATTGTCCGTGAGAAACAGCCGTCATTTCAACATGCTTGAAATCAATTCCCGCACCTTTCCACCAGAAATCTTCTTAGCTGATATGACTTCAATAAGGTTTGAATGATGTGAAATGTCAAAATCCGGACTTTTATTCAATAGTTACCTCATTTTTGACATTGATTTTTCACAGAGTCAATGGTCATGGATTTAATTGTCATGTTCAATGTTTTTTTTTTTTCGATGGTCATTGTTCCACTTTTATTCAAGAGTTGCCAGGTTAAATTGTCATGGTTCATTAAAAATGGTCATGGTCATGTTCCATTATGTTCCATTTTTAATGGTCATTGTTCAATTGACCATGAAACAAGTAGGTTGTTGCCAGGCCTCTTCAAACGGGTCACCTGTTTGGCCCTGATGGTCTCTGCTCCTCAGCTGGATTTGTAACAGATATGTGTGTATGCAAAGATAATATATATATATATATATGTATGATATATGATATATGATATATGATATATGATATACGATATACGATATATGATATATGATATATGATATACGATATACGATATATGATATATGATATATGATATATGATATATGATATATACATATACATATACACATATATACATATACACATATATACATATATACATATATACATATATACATATATACATATATACATATATACATATATACATATATACATATATACATATATACATATATACATATATACATATATACATATATACATATATACATATACATATACATATACATGTAATATATGTTTCATGAGACTGCCATTTTTTGTATTTTTCCAGACTTAAGTGCCTGTTCCGCACAACTTTTCCAGAGCGTGTACAGTAAATGTCAAAGATTGGAGGTATTCAGTGGTGAAAACACTCCAGAGATCTTCAGAGTTTGTGCTGCTGTTTGTCGAAGACATGGTTCCTTTGCTTTATTTTGTTTCCTTTAATTTCTTTCGTTGATGTGCCAAGTTTCGTCTCAGATCTCAAGTGATCCCAAGGCATCTGCAGAAGAGGGCAAGGAAGGTGCTCCTTGGGAATCTTTTGGCCGCAGGTGTTTGGATACACTTGAGCAGTGGTCAACAACCACGTTTTTTGATGATTGCAGGTGGTTACACTACCCAACATGTAATTCTGAATATATGTATATATATAATATAATATATATATAATATATAATATATAATATATATATATGATAATTAATATATAATACATATAATACATAATACATAAATAAATATATATATATATATATTAGGGATCATCACTGTTCATTATCCATTATCAGATTTCTACCAAGAAAGTACTGGCAGAATAGCAGCTGTTTTGTTCAAATGGCTCTCATCCCGCAACGCCAGTGTTCTTCAACGGCATTTCCATCTTCGGTGTGCCCGGAGATGTTGCCGCAAGTTCTCGTAGGAGATTGTCTTGGGATCGTCTTGGGGGGGGTGCGAGATGGGGGGTGGAAGGAGATTCTTGTGGATGAAGAGATGAATTTGGGATGACTTGTTTGTTTATCATGATTTCAGGTGGTTTAGTTTAACTGTTTAATTAATCACAGTTGTTTGGGAGGTTTTATTGAGTTGTTGTTGTTTCCCATTTTACATACTTAATAAGCTGAAGCAGCTGAGTGAGCAACCTGATGACAAGGTACAGTCTGCAAGGTATAGTCAACAGTGATATGCCGTACCAGCTGCCACAATGATGACACGTACTTATTTATATCTACCTATTGATACATACTGTGTTTACACGCATTTACACGGCATACTGGACATATACTGTTTGTGCATGTACACGTAATATATGTTGTATCTTCGCATTACATATATCATATGGGAATGTGGAGTTGCATGCAATTCTTACCTACATTACATGACATGAAATCATTTACACATTTGGACACATGGACTATGAATGCAGCTTGCTTATGTGTGCTTCACGAAGGCAACTATGCTGATGAGATTACTGGTAGACTGCTTACCGAATTGGCAAGCTGCCTGGTTTAGACATTGTGTGTATATATTCTTGGATCTAACATATGCTCATATAATGTAATATAATCAATATTTATATAATATCTTCAAACGGTCCTCAAGGACTCACAGTTGGATAGGCTTCACATGTTTTTTGATGTTTTCAGCAGATGTTCCTATTCACTGTGACACAGATTGTATGAGTATTGTGGCTTTGAGTAACGTCTATGTGTCCCAGAATTATTGGAGATCAAAAATACAAGCACGGTATCTTGTGTATCTGGAAATAAATTATGATTTTGCTTTCCGAGTTTCTCTTTTGGGACATGAATGGCGTGCGCCATCCCTGTAAAGGATTTTTTATCCAAGGCTACTAAACCCAAGGTGTGCATATGGCTATAGATCACCCCTTCAGTAGAAATAGCAAGTTTCCTGGGTCCAGCGGTACACCCATTTGGCCCATTTGTATCCATACTGTCTGAACATGGGTCTTATGCCTCAGTTTTGACAATTTGTTTGGATCGGAAAAAAATGATCAAAGCACTGCAAAAGGGGGGGTACACATGGATACAGCATATTTTCAGGCACGGCCATTTTATTGGGTGATTTGCTCCACGTCCTTACCATCCATTGTTTCATCTGGGCTCAGCGGGGCTCGGCTGTGGCGCGGCGTCATGTCTTGGGCACTCAGGGGATGTCAGCCGGTGGGTTCGACCTGGGACATGTTTATAGCCGATGGGTAGTTTAGTACTCCAATTGCTTGCTATAAATAGGATATTATTATTACATATTATTACAGTATCTATTGTTCTTCTCATTATTATGTTTCTGCCTATATTGTTATTTTCATTACTTATTACTATTGTAATGATATATATATATATATAGCCTATATAGCTAGATTTTTTTGAACATGCAGTGAGCTAAGATTGGCCGTGGTTTGTCTGAACATATTGTCATATTGGGAAAGCCCACGATCTGGTACCCCACGATCTCACTGGGGAAAATAATTTTCCCTGTCCCTTGGCAGCCTTGGTGGTTTTGCCAATGTAGGATGGAAATTCAACGGACGTTGAACTAAACATGTATGCAGGATGGGTCACTAGCTTTGATTTTACGATGCGGAAATTGAACATATTTGAACTATGATGGCTCAGGAAACCAAATGAAACCTAAGGGTTTCACGAGGTATCACGCAACAAAGATGAGGGATTGCTATGTGTGTTGCTCATGCAAGAAACTGCACCCATTTGACACCTAGGAGTTGCTTGTTATGGCTTCAGTCAGTACTGCACCAAAAGTGGTGATTATTAGATATTATTTAATTATTAATTAGATATTATTAGATATTATTAGGCTTATTCATGATTATTATATGGAGAATGAACCCATTGGCCCATTGGTCAATCCCGGCAATCCCTGGCAGCTCATCTTCGCTCGCTACCGAGGCCGCCCAAGAAGCAAGATGTGTATCTACCGGAGGCTCTCATTCTCCATGTTTCGAAACGCTGATCAGATTTGATAAGTATATGGGTATGGGTCAATACCTATAGATACATTTTAGTGGGATGAACATCCATTTACCAGCTATTTTGGGGTTCACTAGGTACCAGGGTTTTGACCCATCCCCATATCATATCTGCTTGGTGGCTTGGAGCATTTTGGTTATTTTTTCCATATATTGGGAAGACCAATCCCAACTGACGAACTGATATTTTTCAGAGGGGTTGAAACCACCAACCAGATAAGTATATCATATCATTGAGATAATGATAATGACACTATTATTTATATCCAATGTAAAACGAATATGATGTGTGTAGTGGGGATGCATATTTACATATATATATATATCATACATGTGTCATGTTGTTTACTAAACTGTTATTCCAGTGTTTTTGCTCTTTATATGTGTTTGTTATATTGTGTACATATATACACGCAATTACATGGACTAGAGGCTAGTGACATGTGGAGTGAGAAAACACATCCCGCCATACACACCGAACAACTTATCACAAAGCACCCATGTCACTAGACCACAGTATACAAATAATTATGTAAACATATGTAATATTCATACACGTGTCTGGGGCCTTGCTCAAGTCACAATGGGCCCAAATATGGCATGGTAAAGGCAATGATGCGGTTGTTCCATTTGTTTCAGAACAGGTCCGTAAAGTACAGTTGTCAATGACATCAATGGAAGCACTGTAAATATAGTAAAGGTGCAAAATGGATCAATAAGCCATATGCTATATGCTATGGCAGCTATGGTATACCCCAATGGCTCATTTATGGCCTGTTGGTGAGCCCATGGAGCAGGTCGAAGATGAGGTAGATCTTCCCGAGGAGGGGCCTGGAGGTCGCCATGGAAGGATGACTCTCAATCTGTTGCTGGTCTACCCTCTGGTAATTCAACATAGCTATTGAAAATGACCATTTGTAGTGGATTTTCCCATGAAAAATGGTGATTTTCCATAGTTACGTTAGTTTACCGGAGGGTAAGTTCGTCTGAAAATTGGCTACATCAAACAATCCTATGGTTGTAGATGAAGCCATATTTGCCTAATCCTATGGTTGATCATGATTGTTTCTCTCAAGCGGACATTTTGGGTATAGCCCAGGATTTACTGAATAGCCTTGGCGGTCTGAAGCTCAGAGGAAGCCTCCAAAGCTTGAAAAGAAACACCAGCTTGTTGGTGGTTTCAATATGTATAGTTATATATATAATATTCTATATTATATATATTCTGTGTATATATGTATATATATATACACAGTATATATCTTGATATAGTTATATATGTTCATCAAACCACCACATTTCCATATCGTCGTTATGTTCTATAGGCTCTCTTAGGATCTGTTGGATAACCAATCTATAGCATGTCCCTCAGGTGGCAAGTGATGAGGTATCCCCTGAGGTATGCCCTGAGGTATCCCCTAAGGTTATCAAAGTTGGGAGAATGACCCCCAATGACTCAAAAGACTTTGGATGGGGCACCAGTGACCAGTGGACAGTCGACATATTGTGTCAGCGTTGCCCTTTTCTGAAGCTGAGGCAAGCTGCCGACCACGAGCTTTTGTCTCGTTGCATCCTTGGTTAGACGCTTCACAAAGGAGCCGCTGTCATTTGGCCAGCTATGTATCCAAACAAATGTTGACTGATTGTATTTGATTGTCATAATAATCTATTAGTGAGGTTGCAATAGCTTTTTTTGTGGATCAATATGGTACAGAGCAGTAGTAATACGTTCGGTCCTAGTGACAGATCATGACGATTTGCCATTGGCTCATTAGTCCACCTGCAAGCCGACCAAGGTGCTGGGGCATTTGTCAGGCCTGGGCTAGATCTGATTAGATCATCTGAATCTTAATTATTAGATCGATTTATGATTAACTATGACATTATGACTATTAACTATGACATTATGACTATATGATGATATATATATATATACGGTATGTGTTTTTTCTCAGAAAATCGGATACACCCAGACCCCGGTTTTTTTTTTTCCTTCCTGAGAACCGGGTTGGCCAAAACTCCAGCCGCAGGTCACAATTTCCGGGTTCAGCCGCCATCTGAAGATGGAGAGGCCAGCCCCCTGCAGGAGTGCCCTTTCGGCAGCTGTCGGCTGTTGGTTTCCGCGAAGTTGTCTACTTCAGAAGTGATCGACCCAAGTAGATCTAAATTGAACCATTATTCTGATCCACCTATACTCTTACTCATCCATTTGAGTACTTCAGCATTGATCAAAAAATGCTCATCTCAAGGGGAAAAAAAGGGTTCCGTGTGCTGTTTAAGCGCCAGCTTTGCTGTTTGATCTCTGGGGATGCTGAGACAGCTGAGCCTGTCCAAGGGTACCCAACGTTTGGGGCAGATTCTTAGTTGATTTGGCTTTGAAGTGACGATGACAGATAGTTAAAGTATGTTAAAGTAGATACAATTATGATAAAGTATGATAAAGTAGGTTTTTTGTATGACAAAGTAGTTAGATAAAGTAGCTTAGTTTTTCAAAAGACGCACCTATTGACAACTTAGCATCCAGTCACGGCTGCTCCGATCGACTGATGCAACTTCAAAGTTTGCACGAGCATCACTGAATGGTCGTTGCACATTTCAAGCAATGTTTTGTGTTAGTTCAAGGTTGTTGAATCAAATTCTAAACGTAGGTGCCTTGATCATGTTTATTTGCCATGTTTCGCAATGAGTATCGCCTTTTGAGGATAAGGACCACCAGCCACATGGATGTTTCTTCCTCACCAACACTTTGCACCGCGCTGCAGTAGCTTTCAAGCTTTTGGATCTGTATTGCAGATGAGTTCCACTGCGAAACTTCGATGTTTTGATATGCTTTGTGTTTTTAATAACGCCAATTGCTACGTTGTGTTGTTTCCATGTCTCAAAATTACGCATCATCCTCACGACTAAAGTTGTACCCCTCCGCAGGACTTTGACCCATGTGCCCTGATCTTGAACCAGGCTCGAAGCCGTGGGGCGAGACTTCTGCGTGTTGCGGGGACATGGTTCGAGCATTGGAAATTCACGAACGAATACTTTAGAATACTAGAAACGTGGTCAAACTGGGCAAATCATCATTTTTATTATTTATATAAATGGATTTTGCTGTGCAGGACACAACATTTGGGACGATTCCTGATTAACTGTGATTAACCACCAGCCAATTTGTGATGCGGCTATGTGACTGGGTCAACAGTGCTTACCTCACACACCCAAACTAAAATGGCCATGAATATCTCCCGTCGATCTTCCTATCCTTGCTGAGTTGCAAAAACACGTGGATTACTTGGGTGCAAAGTAGTGCCATCAATGAAATATAATGAAATGCTGGATTCATGATTGTTTTTGTAGCCATTCAATGTCCAATGCTATTATGACTATACTGGTTTATGTGCATTGACTGCATATTATATCAACACACACACACCCATCAAAATTTGTGCATCTATACATGTATATATATATATCTATTATATGTACACTATATTGATATATAACACATAAATGATAAATTATAGTTATATATATATATATATGCAGTATATGTGATATAATTATATCTATACATACATACAGAATAGTGCATTCATAGCATCTTCCACCAACAGCCTGTCCACCAACATCCTCCAGCCATCCGCACTGGATCAGCCCAGGTGAAACAATCTGGTGACGCGCCAAAGTCGATCGTAGGGATCTGAATGTCTCATTCTTCAACACGCCAAGTTTCGGTTGTTGTTCAATGGCCATAGGCTTTCTATGGCTTTCTCAATCTTGGTTGGCTGAGAAATCTTAGAAGTATACTGTAAACAACTTAAAATTGAACGCAGAAGGCAGCTCAGTGTCCTATTTATATTATTTATCAGACGACCTCACGATCTAATTGTCGACCTTGCGGCGTAACTGGTGATGGCGATTGATGGCGTTTCTTTTGCGAGAGATTGTTTTATGCACCGGGGAACAATGTAGGTGAATGATGGTGAGTGAACTTTTAATAGTTTGTCCAAACATGTTTGACTTTGAAACTGGATGTCACATGAACTTTATTTTGAAGTTATATATATATATATATATTATACATACATCATGGTATGGCCAATGGACAGACACTCCAAAACAGTGTTAGTTTGGTTCTAGGTACGTAAATGTGTGTATCTACGAAATACTACGAAGAGATAGCATGCAGGCAGGTGCGAGTGAACATAGATTGACTATGGATACCACAATGTAGTAACAGCAAAAATCACATTGCCATTGCCACGCTCAGAATCGTGGACCTAGCACTGGCCGAATTTGACAAGCCAATGAGCCCAGGTGTTACTAGACAAAGAGGAGCTTGGTGGTTATTGTCAAGAAGCTTACGGCCTACAGGATCTGTTTGCCGAACATCAGATCGCCGTGTTCATCATTTTTCATCATTGGGCTGTTTGACAGAAACTTTTTTAGAAACATATCCAAATGGCTTTTGACAAAACAACTGTTGATGGACCATTATGACCAACTGTTTGACAGAAACCATTAGAAACTTTCCATGGAAACCCCAAGGAAAGCCCATGGCCTTTGGGGTTGGCCCTTGGCCCCGGGCCAGGATCAACCCATTTGGGCGGGCCTGAAGTTCAGACTAGAGAAGGAGCAGTGGAACATGCTGGAACGTCAGTGAAGCCAAGGATTCATAACCCATAGGATCCATGTATGGTATATATGCTAACATTGGGGGTATCAATATAAGGATTCAAGACTTTCAAGACAGGATCAATTTCAACAGTTACAAGACTTACAGGTAAAAGTGGTAAAAGCGAAGAAAAGACCTTTTGGTCTCGGCTGATTTTGTTTGCCAATCTTGGATCAGCCGGGAGATTCATGTTGGAAGGCGAATTCCATGCCATCGAAAGCTGGTGAATTGGTGTGATATTGTTGACCCTACCCATCAGATCTGGCCTCAAGGGATTGGGAGTGCCCTTCACATTTACGTCAAATCCCAGATTCTCTTTCTGGTTCACAGTTATACAGTTGAAATATGTTGAATTCCGTATTTTGTTTGTCCTTTGCATTGTCTAAAGCCATACAAATATCATAGCTTGGAGATCATATGACTGCCTTGACAATTGTTTGTCGTGACTGGTTGAGTTTCACGAGACAAGGAGCATTATCAGTGGAAGCAAAGCTATGCAGCTAGGTTTCTACGACAATTTGCAGGCAAACAGCATAGTGACTAATGATGTTGAACGATGTTGAACGTATTTAGATGGTACAGACCCATGGTATCCGAAAAAAAAAAAAAAAAAACTATCGTATACTCATGTTTCCAAGAATTTCCCCAAAACTATCGAGGTGTCAAAATCATTTCCTGTTGATGAAATCCTGACAGTCCCACCTGGGCGCCCAGGAGCGTGCTGCGCGGCAACGGGCCAAATCGAACGCCCTGCGGCGGAAGGTGGGGATGGCGGCGAAGATGCGGGGACTTCTATGGCTGCTTGAGGATGATATACACCGTTATTAAAGAAGAAATGTATAGACATGATGTCCCTGATATATATATATATAAAATCATATATATATATATGTATATATATATATGTATGATCCTGTATGATCCCTTATATATACACATGATTATACAATATATATATATTATTGAATATATATATATGTGATTATACATGTAATATAATATGTACGTTGTATAATGATATATATATTATATGTGTGTTGTGTATAATATAGCTGATTATTATTATATAAATATGAATATAAGATCTAAACAAAGAAATATCAATATGTCACCCCAGCAATATGTAGATGTACCATAAGAGATCATCACAAAGAACATTTCTTTCCCCAACACAGAGGCATTTTGTTCATAACTAAAAATCGTCATCCTTCACACAAGATATCAGCAAGATCCCTCTGGGTATGGATCAAAAGATCGCTGTGGATGCGCAACTCCCCAATTCGATGGTATGATAGTTTGGTGGCCCATCCCCAAATCAATATTACATCACTATTTAAAACCCCAGTTTTGTTGGTTTCAGTCCTGAGTTCTGAAGAATCTACCCTTTTTGTGTTGGGCAACACGACTGTGTTGTTTGCATTTTTCCTCGCCTTTCCTCGCCACAGCTCATAGCGGACTTTGAAGAAGGAGCCGAGGGCATTGGAAGCCCAGCATGGGGCATGGGGGTGTCGTTGCGTGAAAGTGGTGGTATATATAATGGTATACCATGGTATACCGGTATACCCAAAGAACAACACCAGCTGCGATTGATCCCAGGATTGGTTGAAATTGGTTGAAGGGAATGGTTTCCTGCTGGTCGAATCCACTGATCTGAAGCACTGTGGATTTCCTGGGGGAACCATCTGGCCCAAAAATAGGAGAGCCGAGTGGTCTTGATACCCCCAGCGCCAGAGGATGGTGAGACTGGAGGTTTTGACATTGATAAATGACCCCACAATACCTTGGATACCTTGGATACCTTGGATCATGAGGATCTACAACCAGCACCTAATGACTGGAAACAGTCACAAGACAAACAATTACCTCTGTTAGCCTGTAAGTTTGATTGTGTTGAATGTAGAACCCACTCATGGAATCTATATAATGTAAATATAAGTGATATGCCAGCCCCCAACCCACAACAACGTTGATTTTCTAGTCGAACAATCAGCTCCTATTCATTGTTACCAACTAATGATGTTTTCCTGGATTTCATCACCTGAAAACCGCGGTGAAAACCCAAGGCGGTGACCTAGCAACTTCGCCGGCACAGCCGGAGGTGCCGATGATTTTAGTCATTTTTGTCATCCACAAAAAGCTAGAGAAGCGAGTTATGATTGTAGTGGGATTGTAGTGGGATTTAACTGTTCTATCTTTTTGGGGGTTACGGGATTACTTAGCTAATTCCGCACTGAATGTTTTTTTTGAGTGTGGCAAGTAGTAGGCATCACATTATATAATCGTACTAATGGCTTGGAGATAAAATTGATATAACCATTAATCCCTGGTCCTACTATCCTATGGAGGATTGAACAATGCTTGACCCGTATTCAGTCAAGATTTGGATATTCATTGGGTAGATGTTTCACAGTTTATGCTGCTGGGTAGCTTCACATCCCGTCAAGAATGATGGCTCCATTACCAAACAAACCTGCTGGTCTTCTCAATATGCTGGGAGGCTAAGGGTGGGCCAATCTCAAGTGGGAGATGAACCTTCATTGATTGAGATGGTTGAGCATGATGATAGTGATCAATGATAAGGACCCAGAAATCTCATTGGGAGCCATGTCAATCATGTCCATTCCAAAGCGACAACGCTTGGGGTTGCTGTTCAGACAATTGAGATGTAAATTGAGAGTGAACAAATGGAGGCGGTTTGCCCTTTGGTTGCGCCCCTAACTGTCAACCACATACGATTTGGTATCTTCTGAAAAAATATATGTATACCAGGAATAGAAAAAGGCAATAGAAAAAGCGGCTGACGTATGTAGTAGCATGCAATAAAGAAGCCAAGAAGGCAAAACAAGACTTTAGGAGATCGGCTTGTCTCCGGTCAAGTTTCCAAAATGCTTGGAAGTGAATAAAGCTATCCACTGAACAAACCAGCTGCCAGTTTCCCCAACAAAATTACAATATAGTATATATATATAGAGTATATATATATAGTGTATCACTATATATATACATATATATGTAGTGTATATATATATATATGTATACAGTATATATGTATATATATAGTGTATATATAGATATATAGTGTATATATATATATATATTATTTTGCTTTGGTTTCCCAGCAATGTCCTCAAGAAGAATCACCCCCATTGTGATTCCTTGAGTCGGTTTAGCTGATTCCCAATGGAGCAGCAACAAAAACAGTTGCTTGGGGAGTATCACAATCCTCGAATAAGGAAACCCTATTCACCCACCATTATTTGGTGAATTGTCCCATAGGTGTCCAATTCTAGCTGAAATATTCCATCATATGTTTCAAGAAATATATTAATATATTATAATATATCCATTGAATTTTCCCTCAAACATCTCCCCATTCAACCATGGATTTTCCCACTGTTTCCAGAAGCAAATCGAACCCACCAAGCAGTACACTCCATGTTATTTTGGGCATTCTATCAACTCAATCATAGATGCTTTTTATCAGCCCTTAGTGGTTGTTGGTGGTTAATCAGCCCTCAATAAACCCTTGTTATTGGTGGGGTCACCATTTACCCGTTGTTGTGATTGTCGTTACTCTATGATATCCTATCATAGTACTGTACCATTATATAAATTATATATAGTACCAAATTATATATAGTACCATTATAGTACCAGTACCACTATACTAACATTATAATAAGGGATAAATACCATGATGGTACAATAGCCTTTATTATGGGAGGCCCGTGATCTATCCAACGTCATGTTCTCATTCCATGGTCATAGCCGGCATCCTGGGATCCTGCAGTTATGGCCATGTATATCCATGTATGAGTTATAACTGGTTATAAATGGGATTATAGATTTTATAAATGGGGTTGTAAGTATAAAATTATAACCCAACATAAACTGCTAACTATAAATGTGGTTTTGTTAGTTATAACCAACCATAAATATAACTTATTCAACTGCAGGCCATCGGGCCATGTGGGAACCAGCGCAGGTGGACGTTCTCTTCCTGCTGGATGCGCCTGAGGCCATCTCGGAGCTGCAGGCCATCTCGGATGCAGGCGCCGGGGGTTCACCCGTGGCACGAGGTGTGGGTGATTTAACAAAGATATGGTCGTACAATGGGGATCTGTGTATATATATGGCTATGAGTCAAAACCCTGGTACCATTCGTGAACCCCAAGTCATAGCTGGTAAATGGATGTTCATCCCACTAAACATGTATCTATAGGTATTGACCCATACCCATATATATATATATACTATACTTGTATATAATAAGGATGTGAATGTGTCAAATGGAAAATGGGTTAATAGAACCTATAGCGATTGGAAACCTTCTATAAGTGGAGGTTTATAGCTGGCAAAATCAAGTATAATTGGAAGATTGTCCATTGTAATGTTTGATTAGTAGATAGTATGGGATGATGTTCGATAAAATCCAAGTGGGCGAAAATCAAGGGGCACTTGTGCAAATTGATGTGTTCTTTTTGCGGTGAAACATCACTAGTTGGTGGTTCAGTTAGAGGTTGAGACCTTCCTAAAGTTTCTACGAGCGTCATGGAAATGCTTGATATTTCATTATTTCATTGATATAATGAAAGGAAACTTGATCTATAGGCTTCCATGGTTGGTTTGTGGGCAAAACATGAAGTTGACTCTTTGTCAAGTTAGTGGTCCTACTGCTTCACTTATGATTTGTTGGAGGTTTGGCTCAGTGTTACATGTTGTGCCCCGCCAAGGACGACTTGTTTGACACGGCATAAGTCCAATGCATATTTCACAGCAGCTCTCAGCAATTGCTACTTTTTTCATCGCCGTGCATGATCTTTTGTTGGAAGCTAAAGCTTCTAGTCCATGCACTTGCAAATGACAAGGAACCCAGATCGGAACGTATTTTTCAGTTTTCCAGTGGGACCTGGGATGGAAACAAGAAAGATCAGTCTCTGGTTTTGCAATCAATAAAGTTCAAAAAATATACTTCGGCAAAGGGGATCTGGTCAAACTTGCGTTTTTTGCCGTTTCTACCCACAGATGTCGATCATTGGTGGTTTTGCAGATATAGGTATATTATGGGTATGGGTCAAACATGGGGTAGCAACGGACCCATGCAAGTTGTTGTTGCGAATTCATTGTTGGGTTTTGTTTTAATGAATCTAGGTGTTATTGTCATTATTAGTATCATGATGTGTTGCTATTACCATTACATCATCCATTTGTTGGGTATGAGTATGAGTATATATGTAATTATATAACCAGCAATATTGTATATAACCCTAACATACTGTGGATGGAAGAAATCCTGTGCCAGTTCGTAGATGGTTTATCCCCTTACCAACTGGTGCAGGATTTTGTCCATCCACAATATGTTAAAAAAACAGTTTTTGACGCATCCCATACGCACTTTTCGGACCGGCCGCATCTGTGGGCGGTGCAGGTCTTTCCGAAGTGGTGGACCTTTGGTCCAGCATCTACTTTGCAGGACATGTCCAAAGGTTGGTGGTTGAGCTGTGTTCAAATTTTTGGGTGGTTGATTCTAGGACCTAGGAAGCTTATACTATTCAATATATGTTTGGATTATTGGAATCCATGGTGGAAATATCCCTACGAACCAACCAGGATTCAATGGAAAGACCTAGAGGGTTTTGAACACTGCTCAGATTGATACTGGGGGTTGGAGAAACCAAAGATTGATGAGGCATTTGTTTAAGGATAATGATGATAGATGATGATAAATTATGATAAATGATGATAAATGATGACAAATGGTGATAAATGGTGATAAATGATGATAAATGATGATAGATGATGATAAATGATGATAGATGATGATAAGGGAACAATTTTGATTTTGGAGTACTACTACTCTATTTTTAGGGAAATGTTATGTCTTAATGAAGGAGGTTTACAGAGAAATTATATAACCACCATCCACAGTTTTGCAAGAAATGAATAGAAATGCGTGGTATAAACCATTCCAAATTGGTAGTTTACTGACGACATTAATGACGTTTGGTAGCTTCATGTGGTTTCAAATTGAAATCATACTTTGGATGATTATTCTAGTCACGTCTATTTCACCAGACAAATTTTCGAGGGGGGTTTGAAACCAGCTAGAAGGTCAAGCCTGAATTAATAAACCCCGGGCTGGAGGAATTCGGGCAGCCACGAAGCAAAATCAAAACTCACCCCACATCCAACCACCATCGAGGTAAAGCGACCCATACCTAGAGATCCCAAAGTGGGAGGATCTTAGCTTTTCGTTTTTTTTTTGGACATATCTTGACATATCGCCCGTTTTTTCGGAACCAGGGGAGCTGGGAGTATAAACGTCGGGTCAAGTGGTGGAGTGCGACATCCATGAGGAAAAAGCATGGATGAGTCCGAGCCACCTGTTCAGGCCGGGTAAGCTTTGGATGATGAGATGGTAGTTAACGGTTTGCTTTGAAAGAGAATAACATATATATAAATATATATACACTGTATATACATAACGTTTATAAATACATATACATATATATATACAGTATGTATGCTTGTATTATATATAGGTATATATATAATTACAGTAATAATTACAGTAAATAATGTAATTATTTCATATTTATTATATAGAGAGATATTATAGCATATTTGTTCAATCTAACCAGCCTTTTTTTGCAGGTATTCAAGATTGGCCATGAAAAGGCCTCAAGATAGGGAACCTCTCCTTGCTAAGCTGCTGGGTGTTGGTTCACCGGTCTGTGTGTTGAACTGGTATGACCTCGTGTGACCAACTCAGTAATCGCTATATGTTCAGGACAACATCCTGCTGTTCTTAGCATCATTGCAAGTTCCAGGATTGGAATTCAAAGTGTAATAATCTGGATAGTCTCCCCAATTTATGACTCAAAGACTATTTTCTTGGGGTTTTAGAGGTGTGATCAAAATCTGAAAGAGGACCAGAAGGATTTTTTTTCATAGATATTCCAAAATTGCTAAGACTTCTGGATACCAATAGCATTCATGTTGACCGGCTCGTAATCCTCCAGGGTCAGGTCGCGCATGAAAAAAACACGGCACAGGTGGAGTGTGCAACAGCAGAAGTCCCTGAGCTCTTCTATCAGGTGCCTTTTAAGGATCTGATTAGCCATCAACACTTGGGATCAAATATCAACAGTTGGGATTAACCATCAACAGTCGGGATTTTTAGTTAATTAATTGTCAACAGTTGGGATTAGAACTGGGGAATTCATTGTATGCATATTATACATGTTTTTTTTACAGGATTAATTAATGATTGTGACGGGAATATAATGGGATGTGACTGACCAACTTGATCTGAAAATCTTGGGACAACAAACTGGCTTGTCTCTTGTGTTCCCTCTTTTTTGATGGCCATCTTGGGCTTGGAATTACCCAATTTTTAGACACACCCCATACACGTTTCAGTCTTTGTTCTCCATTCTCAACGTTTTTCAGATTCGAGCTCGAAATATTGGAAGAAGTCTCAGATTCCCATAGAGGTTTGTGGATGGAATTTGTTCCATAGCCATGTTTCAGCTAGATCTCTGAAGGTGGATGTTTTGTAGGTTTATCACATAGCTACTCGCATCATGGTCTTGTTTCCATGTCCGGCGTTCTGGCAGTTTCAGACGATCAATATAGGGATGATTCCTGAATTTAGCACATGATTGATAAAAAATAAAAGTATGAAGCAGTCGAGCAGTAGACGGCTTCTAATTGACCAACTCAACTGGGGCCCTAGCACTTGTAGTTACCCTCTGGTAAACTAACAGAACTATCGAAAATCACCATTGTTAATGGGAAAACTATGGAAAACTCACTATTTCTATGGCGATGTTCAATAGTTTTTTGTATGTTTACCAGAGGGTTCCTTTCAACACCATCAATTGATACTTCAGTGCTGAACCCTAATGATTTGACCCATTGTATCATCGCGATGTCACCATTGTATCACCATGATACCGAAGAAAATGGGTATGTTTGAAAATAGGGTACCCCCTATGTGATGGATTAACATATCATTTTCACATATTATCATGTTTAATCCCCATGTTTTGTAATGGACCCATATTATTTTTTCCATTGTATCCCCCATTTGTGGACCAACATCGGTTAAATCCCCATTCTTCATGGTTGCATCCAAAGATTTGATGTTTAACATGCTTAAACCAGGTTAAATCCATGTGTTTTTTAAATGTTCAATCCTTATAGCGTTTGATACGTTCGGAGATCACCCTGTGTTTTTCCCCTCCAAACGTCAGGCCATTTCCTCGGCTGCCATGAAGACTGACCTGGCGAACTGCCGATGGCTCAGGGCGTCGAGAAAAGGTGTGGAAGAGCCATGGGGAAAGCGTAGGAACATGTTCTGGTGACTAATGGTGATTAATGGTGATTAATGATGGTTAATGATGGTTAATGATGGTTAATGATGGTTAATGATGGTGATTAATGGTGATTAATGGTGACTAATGATGATTTCACTTACCCTCTGGTAAATTAACAGTTGGACCCTGAAAATCACCAACTTTTAGAGGAAACTAATCTTCCAACCCCTATCTACCAGGGTCTATTTTAATTTACTGGAGGGTACAAAATTGTGGTAGGTTTTCCAGGTTCCACATCTATCTTACTGGTACTTTACAGGAGGGTATCTACAGTATACAGATCTCTTACAGATCTATCATGATCTATCAATGTATCTATGCAGAAATATGTATATCATACTCTGCGTAAGTGTGATGTGCGAATAACATTGATTTACTATATATATATATATATATACATGTATAATATATATATATACATAACTCTATATACATATACATATACATAATTATACACATATAATTTTGTATCTATGCATTTATGATACATATTGCTTTTAGGGTTCAACACACAACGAGGTGAACTCCAAACTCCACGGGGCGAAACCTCATTTTCTTCATTAAAATGGCAAGTTTGGGGTGTACCCCAATGTCAGACAAAGCCAACTCAGTTAAATCCCTCATTTGCCCGTTTTCAGCCAATTTATTTTCATATTATTTTCTAATATTCCATGATATTCTCTATATATGTTATTCCCTATATATATATACTTCCTGAACAATTCCCTGTATATTCCCTATATATTTCCCATACGTTCCCTACATACTCCCCCATACATTCCCTGTATATATATGTATGTATAAGTATATATATATATGTTAATATGTATATACAAGCCCCGTATATATATATATATGTATATATACACATTCCCTATATATATTCACTCTATACATTCCTTCTATACATATCCTCTATATATTCCCTATATAACATGGGAAACTCCATGTCTGGATCTCATCCTACCGGCGCCTAGGCACGGTCTGCACCGTGGCCGAGAGTCATGAGCTGGCTTTTGCGGTGCCAAAGAGCAGCGCCGTCTCGGAATCTCCGGAGGCCAGACGCCGAAAGATGGGTAGCGTATTGTAGGTATTACCCTCTGGTAAACTAACATAGCTATGGAAAATCACCATTTTTGATGGGAAAACTCACTATAAATGTCCATTTTCAATAGCTACGTTAAATTACCAGAGGGTATAAATATTATTAGTAATATTATCCATCAAAATCTTCCAGTTATCTGGGTGAATTATAACGACTTCACTGTTCTCCCTCATTGGAATCATGGTCAGTAAGGGGGAATCATCCCCAAATAGCATAAATTTCAGGTTCGTGAAATATTATAATTTACTCAGAGTTATAGTATGGAATATCCCCCAGTTACCCATAGGATCCATGGTGCTGCTATATATGGTAACATGGATCCCATCAATTTACCCCCTTTATGTTAGTATATACCAGCACCATGGATCCTATGGGTCATTAGATATATGTTATATATATATTATTAGATACATATTAATATTTGTAGGTATAAATGATGTTATACATATTTATGTAAGTCATATGATATCATATGATACTAATATTTGATTGATGATTTGATTGTGTTGACTGTATTTGGTTGTTGCTGGTAGCAGTATGGGTCACTGGGGCATGTAGATGTACATATCTGGATGAATCATAATGACCTCACTGGAATGGTGGTTAGTAAGGCGAATTATCCCCAGTTGACCTTATTTCAGTTATTTTTTAAAGTACCTGAATCATTATAATTCAGCCAGATATACATTAATAAATATAAAAATCTTTATATACTATATATATGTATATATTGAGACATATATATATATATACATAATATAATATGTATAATATATATATATTCATATAATATGTATATATTATATATATTCATATAATATGTATATATATATATATATGTATGTATATATATATATATGTATATCATTATATATATATGTATACATTTGACATAATAATATATATATATATATCTATCTATGCGTTATACATATATGCACTAATTATATACCTATATATTGTTATACTTGGTTGTTGCGTCGGTGTGCCAGCTGTTCACACCAGGCCCAAGTACCAGAGACGACTCCGACAGAGAGAGCGATGGCTGCTCCGCAGAGTTGGGACTTTGGGGATGCATCCCACCTAGTAAATTGGTAAATTATAGTTACCCTCTGGTTAACATAGCCATGGAAAATGGCCCAGATGGTTTACCTACCTATTAAAAATGGTGATTTTCTATAGCTGCGTTAAATAACCAGCGGGTATTTATAATGGTAAATCATCAAATTTTGGGATACATTTCATGATAAAGTGGATACATTTCATGGTAACTTTCATAATAATATTATCCATCAAAATCTTCCAGTTATCTGGGTGAATTATAACGACTTCACTGTTCTCCCTCATTGGAATCATGGTCAGTAAGGGGGAATCATCCCCAAATAGCATAAATTTCAGGTTCGTGAAATATTATAATTTACTCAGAGTTACAGTATGGAATATCCCCCAGTTACCCATAGGATCCATGTATGCTATATATGGTAACATGGATCCCATCAATTTACCCCCAATGTTAGTATATATACCATACATGGATCCTATGGGTTATGGGATGACATATGGCTTATGGATTATAACGGATCCAATTCGTGGGATGCACATAGCTTTGCCAGGTAGTGACCGAGGATCATGCCAGGAATTGTAAGGTGACTGAGTAGTGGTAGCAATAGTTTATGCATGTTTGTTCCGGATAATTCCTCTGATAAGTAATTCAACATAACTGTGGACTAGTCATTATTATTTTTCTATATATAGGTATATAAATCATTGTAAATCATCTATGAACCAGTGTGATGTTGGACATGACACAGCCATACAAGCGAACACGTGATTGGTTCGTGTCTCCAGTCTCCAGGCAGAAACAAAAACAAGAAGTTGTTGTGCGGTGCCTGTTGTAAGTTCATAATGAATTGACTTTGGCTTACTTGATTGCTTGATATGTTTTTGGTATCCTGCATGTAGTTGCGTATGCAGTATGTTCGAGGGGTGAAGTTACACAGATGCAGGGCTGGATGTCCCATCAGAATGCATGAAATATGAATTTTGAACGTAACCTTAAGTTGGTTGTAGGTTGTGATTTTTTTCTACTGGTTGGATGATGTGCAAATGCTAGGGCGCACTGGTAATCATTGATCCAGGCTATTCACCATGTTCGGCACGAACTCAGACATTTCTCCCGGTGAAACATTGATTGTCCCGAGTCCCATGTCTTTCTCCTTGAGAGATCATGATTTTGAGATATTTTGAGGTATCTCCTACATTATCCAAAAGGTATCTCCTAGCTGGCTATATTTATTTGATTTTATGTGTAATTACAATGATTAATGCCCGATATCTCAATGCTAGTCTTTGAGGCTGCCATGATGGAAGTTCTGGCACAGGAAGCATCCTCGCGAATGCGATTCCAGGCGTTGCTTTTCATCTGATTTCACATTCAGCATGTGATTAAAATGAGGTGAAAAGGACACATTTGCTGTGTCTGAAAATGAGGTATATATCGAAATTGGCTAGTTAATAGGGAAACTTGTGATAAGCCAGAGGATTTAGGGGACCCCAGTTTCAGACAAACCCACTTGAATTATATTCAAGTACATGCAAGTAGTGAAATGAACCAAGACACATCAGTACTATATATGAATGGGCATAAGTTCACTACACCTGCTCTTCTGGCAGAATTGTATCCTGGTTAGGTGGTATGACGCGACTCTTTGCCACTTGGGGTTTACTATTCGCAGAGACTAAAGTTTAAGGGTTCATTAAAAGTTGTGATTTCGTTTCGCTCATGTGTTTCCGTCCGAAACTGGAGGATACCTTAAAACGGCACATGATCCCCTGGTTTGTCGAAAACATCAGGCCAGCACCATATTTAGGTTAAAAAAGAGCTATAGGAACACCTCGTCGATTACGCGATGTACCCAATACTTGCGCTTAAATTACGCGGTGAATGTTCAAGTCATCAGTGCACCAAGACACCAAATTTGGTATCCAAGGCGGTCCAAGGCAAGCCTGACTGTGATTTACGCCGCTGCGACCAATATTAATAAGAGCATATAAGAACAGTTTTGTTTGGGAGCATTGCCCTGGTGCAATGAACTGCATGTGCATTTTGTTTGCACATTTCATTGACACATTTCATTTGGAGTGTTGGCACAAACTACTACGAGGACAGCCGAGGCAACCAGGTAGAAAAGTCAACATTGACGAGGTAAGCGACGAGGTGAACAACCAAACTTAAGGTACCAGCGAGGGGATCTGATAAACATTTGTGACCAGAGAGTTAATATGGATAGCCCATTCAAGCCACTTGCATGGGGATGTGTCAACAGACATGCAGATGTTGAAGAAAACTTTCTCCCCAAACAGCGTTAGCTTACAGGCAAGGTTCGGTGCAGCTTCCGGTGCGGGTTCCGGGCTGGTTCCGGTGCGGGCTCCGGGATTTTCTGGGAAGTTCAGGAAGTTCCAGGTGGTTCCGGGAGGTTGGGGAAGTTCGGGAAGTTCCAGGTGGCAGGTTCCGGGAAGTTCCGGGAGGTCCCCCAAAGTGCTTGTCCACTACTTCCAGCATCATCCGTCTCCAAAAAAACTTTCCAGGGCCCCGAAAGTTTTTTTTCCGTTTTGGGGTCCCTTCATGCGCCATGTATGCTTAGGTGGTATTAATGAGGCGAGGCTACTATTTCCTAACGCTATGTAACGAGGCAAGGTGCTAAACCCAAGTTCACATTTAAGTCACGAGGCAGACGATGCAAAAATAAAGTAAATATCCCAGATTTAGTCATTTTGTCAGCTGGTTCTGAGCGTTTCCTTGCTGAACCGGGTAATAGCTTCAAACATAATAGTATCAGAATATGCGCACACATGTTTTGTCCGCAATTGACAAACAAAACTATACATGTTCGTTTGGGTGGCTCTGGCTCAGCAGTACCAACAAAGTGTTTTGATTTTAGAATTTTTAGGTGTAGAACATCAACATGATACTCCCATTGGATGAATGCGAAGGACAATTACAGGAAAACCTTACAGTGATTATTGACTAGTAGAAAACATGGTAATGAGATGAAACGCGTTTATGTTCAAAAAACCTTATCAGAAAACAAACGCTCAAAATTATCTCCTATAAACTCTTTTAAAGAAAATCACAGAAAATCCCCAAATCATTGAACTGTCAGTCAGATCCCAGCATGTTTGATGTTCAGGCGTGGCTGGAGGCAGGTGGGAAGTGATTTGGTTTTCCTTGAAACTTTAGGGGAAACGCCTCTCCAAATCCAACATGGATGGACAAAATCCTTCATTCTTTACATGGTTTCATATTTAGCAATCACTCTCACATGCTTCAGGATTTTGTCCATCCACAGCATGTCCATGATAAAAATATTGGTATCTCCTATTTCTAGTTACTTCGTTCCAGGGCTGCTCCACCCCATTACAAGTAAATTATCGCCACAATGGGGGACAATTTGTCATGCTACCTCTATATTTACCCAGTTCCCCCCGAATGATACCCTGGGTGTTGGGAGCTACCATGTTTTCAGACCCAAAAGTTTGAAGCTACTAAGCCAGCTTTCATATGTCGTGATGATTGAATCCAGCCATTTCTTGTTTGCAAATCGTGCGGGTGTTGAAACGCAGCTGTTTGCCTCAAGGTACTCGGGCTGGATTGGGAATTGGGTCGATATCATTGATTCTTTGATCTCAAAAATTGGATATGGTTGCACCATGTTGCACCATGTTGCATCCAAAAGTACCCAAATTCATCTTGAATGCGTCTGCGTGGCTCAAAATGATTCACCCCAGAATCTGCGTGGCCCAAAATTTATCCAAACGGTTCCATGGGTCTGACAGTGAGACAACCTCTGCGACTGAGCTTTGGTTTAGTTGAAATTTAAAGCCAGTGCATTCCATGTGCAGAATTACTTGCTTGTTCGGGGGTTGTTTCAAGTAGATTTCTGTTCCATCCCCAACTGGAATGATCATTCCAAAACTAGAGATTTGTACAATTTTGTACATACAATAGAATCATCTATACAAATATCATATGTGTTTATATATATATATATTGTGTATATACATATATATATATATGGATGATATATAATGGAGCTGTCAAAAATGCAATCTTTGAGTGTCAAAGTCAGGATGAACTCCAGGATTCCAGTTGTCCCCATCCTGGCGCCATGGAGCGCGCTTCTTTTGTGGCTGCCCGGCGCCGGCGCCGGGAACTTAGGGATTCAATCCTGGGAAATTGACATAGATTAACATACGGCGGGTGGAAGAAATCCTGCAGTTGATAGGTGGTAAACATCCCATTATTTATAGCGTTTCAACCATCCAAGGTGGCGCAGGATTTCGCAACCATCCACAGTATGTTGGTTATATGAATATATTAATATTATATAAACAATCTCAGGGAAATCGTTATTGTGGGTTATATTAATTAATGGGTATATACGATATGATATTCATCTATCTGTTTGTCTCTCCGTCTGTCTGTCTGTCTGTCTGTCTGTTTGTCTGTCTGTCTGTCTGTCTGTCTATCTATCTATCTATCTATCTATCTATCAAAACAATGATATGGTGGATATGGAATGAGATGGTGGATATTGACTAGCAAAACAAGAGATTAAATTTAAAGGCCAAAGCTTCGGGATTGGCGCAAATGTGGGTCTCCAGCACTCGACAGGGTATTGAAAACATAATCCAACAATTCTATATAGATTATTACCCTTTGGTAAACTTACATAGATGTGAAAAAACCATCATGTGTAGACTATGTGTAGATCATGTTCAGGAAAACCAGGGCTTTTCCACATCCTTTTGTATGTTTACTCTAGGGCATCATCACGTTCCCATCCAAAATTGGGGTTTCCCCCATTTTGGATAGAGCAACATATTTTTTGTGGTTTCAGGTTTCAGGTTCCCAACCTTTGGCTCCGTGTTTGACCTGAGGGCGGCTGGTGTGGTGCTAGGTGTGGAGCAATCTATTTTGGTGAGGAAGAGTATTCCTGGGTTTGTTTGAGGTGATTTTCGAATGGAATATGAAAGACTATGGCAATAGATGGCATATTTTTATATATTTTATGAATGTTCAATGATTTTCATTATGGAACGTGAAACATTGTTTATGAAAGCCAGGTTTCTGGGTTTGTTTGTTAGGTGATTCTCAATTTTTCCAATGGGACATCCACCATTTGGGGAATCTACCGGGAATACAGCAAATCCAAGCAGTGGAAGAGTTGGTGCTGCCATAGGGGTCGTTTGCTGGTGCGTTACAATATGGTCAATATCTAACTAAATTAAATTACGCTTATTTATGGTTTTAGATTGTTTTAGATATGTCCACATAAATGAGCCCGAAGTTTGGTTAGGCTTTCAGCTGCTGGAGCCATCTTTTGCCCAATGAAGATGTCGTGTTCGGTGGCTCAAGGGATCCCAATCTCCGAAGGCATCCGGGTGATTACATAAAACACTTACACTCTACTACTATGCATCCGCAGAATCTTGAAAACTCTGAGTTTCAGAACATGATTTTGGTGCCTCATTCTCTGGGCGAAACAGCACCGTCTTTGTGTGGCGAAAATCTCCCGGCAGCGTAGAGCGCGCTAGGGGCCGTCGCAAAGCCATGGAATGGAATCGTGTTGGGTTTGCCCTCATTCTCCTCCTCGAAGGTCCGGATGGTCTTCCAAAATGCACCTGGAGGATAGCTAAGTTGGTTTAGTTCACTTGAATTCTATTGTGTATGGCAGCTACATCTAGATACATCAAATTCATGGATTTAATATGGTTTAATTATATAGGGATTGATAAACCAACTCATTTTTGTCTAAAGATGGTGGGTTTCCAGCTGGGAGATTCGGTTGAACGATGTGCTGTGTCGTTTTGTGTCTATCGAAGACCCCCTAAGTAGAATTCTGGCCATGGATTTGACTTTGGGGGTACCATGGGGTACCTGAAAGTCTCTAAACTTTAAGGCATGTGATGAATTGGGATAGTGTGTTTTGGACTGGATAACATTGGATGACCAACACAGTGACTCAGTGTCTATGCTGAAACGAAACCAAGCTAGGTCAGTGTGGACAAAAAGGATGGTTGAGTATAATGGCTAATCATGATTACTGGGTTAACTTTAGCAACTTCTCAACATATTGGGGAACATCAAGACAACATCAAGACAACTGGCAGCTTTGGGATTGTTGGTTTTTTTTTTAATGATCCAGCGATCCATGGTACGCCTCAAGCTATAAGTGAATACAGCCACCAGCCATGCCATTTTCAGCGGTGGTGGGGGATACCATGGGATACACCGATGGTTAACTAAGCGCGAGCCAGCTTCAAAAAAGTCACGTGTGTTGTTTCATGAGTCAAGATACAGTCAGATATTGCATAACATTGCATCCAGTGACAATGTTATGTGTTTCAAATGTGGGTTGATACTGGTGATCCCATTGTCTAAGATGGCTTTTCGTCAGCCTTTCTTCGCAGTTTTCGGCGCCTTGGCGATCATCGTGAACCTCGTTTTCTTCCTATGGCACAAGCGTTGGCGATCTCTTCTCGATCGTATCCGAAAAGGTGGATTTAAGCATGGGGAGTTTGGTGCGCACGGTGCCCCCAAGCCATCCCAAGCCTTAGCGAAGTTGGTGGACGTTCAGTAGGCGAACTCTTGAGTTGATGGTAGATATGACATATCCAACTAGTTAGATGATTAGATGGGTTTATGGGCCGCAACAAGTTACATACCTTGGGTCGCAACACTTCGCGCCGGAAAGATGTCAACCTGCATTCATCATGCGACTGATATGCAGTCTATCGAGAGGCATCTAGAGGCAGTGCTGACCCGCGTTGAAGCCAGTCGTCATTCTTTGTTTAGTTCAGGGAAAAACTGATTTCTTGTTTCAGTCGTACACAAAACATTAGTATGAACTGTCTAAGACCAAGATGTAGAGCAACAAGGAGAGCATCTTGCAAGCAGTCGCCCCTTTTTCCATGAAAGCACGACGTGAATCTAAGTAGAACCATCCTTAAGATCCTTTCGCAGTTTTCATTGGACTCCATCCATACTACTTGGCTCTGGTTTATGAGGCATATGTCTTGGTTTGTTGCTTATATACTGCAGATACTAAAAATATCCATTGATATCTCCAATCATTCATGTTGGCTTCCGCACTTGGATGATCTGGGATGGTCATTGAATCCAGTCCACTTTTCCCCATTTGAAAGTTGGTGTCAGTGAATATGTCCCCTTTAAACATCTTAAAACCGCCATGCTTAAGCCCGCCGCTTGGAAGGCTTAAAGCCCTTGATCTTCGCGAAGGATGGAGATCCAGCCGTCCTTGAAAAGTTTCATTGGATCCAGTGTCGCCTTATCGTGCAAGGCCAGGGATGTTGGCGCTGTGATGAGTAAAGGCTGGTCTAAAAAGGCTGGAGAAAGGGATTCAATGGGGTTTGTTTAGTTAAAGGCTCAGAAGGCCCCAAATCATATATTCTAAAAAGCCGACATGGCCCAAAGTTAAATGATTATGGCCTAATGGAGTTGTGTTGGGCTTCGCAAAATTGGTTATTTTGTGTGCTGGTCCGCAGGGTGATGGAAGAGTAGGAACATCCATGTTCAATCATGTTCATACGGGGGTTTCCTAAATTGGGGGTACCCCAAAATGGTTCGTTTATGAGGGAAAATCCTATTGAAATGGATGATGTAGCGGTACCCATATTTTAGGAAATCAGCATATGTTTCCACACCAAAACAAAACTGATCAAAAATGCAACTTAGAAAAACCGTATCTCTTGAGTAATTGCTCAAGTTTCTCCAGATTTTCCAGCGTGCCTGGTTCCCCCTTGTTACCTCGGGTCTCCTTTCCCTCAAGGCACCCGCGATCTGCAGGGATGCGAAAAAAATGAGTATGTCTTGAAATATCTCCATTATAATATATATATATATACATAGTCATGACTATATAATATATATATATATACACACCATATTACATCCCCATTCTACCAATAATGTTTCCTTGGTTAAATCAAGTTACATCCCTTTATTAACCCATGCGCCGAAGGTTCGAAGGTATTTCTTTGTGCCCTCTTTCTGCGGATGGTGGCAATTCAGCAGGCCATGTACAATGGAGAACCTCATAGTGCCTTGGAGTTTGAATTTCTGAATAACACATTGTCCAGTTAGGTTTGTCATTCTCCACTGCAGATAACTATGAATACAACCATATCTATATTAATATGATATACATAAATTAAATATATATATATATATAATTATATATATACTATGTAACTATCCATTAAATATAGTATATTCGTCATCACCCACATACATCTATATACTTCTATTGTAATTAATTCTACCTAGACTCAAAGTGCTCAAAGTGCAGTGGTGCAGAGCTTTGAGGAACATAGGAACATGGTCAGATAGTCTAAGATACTTCACTGCTGTCAATGCATGTGGAATATGATTTTATAGCCTTATAGGATGAGCATTGACTGCTTCACTTTGTTCAATTCTCCAATTAACCTCAGGTGGAAAGGGCTTAGTTTACAGATGTCCATGGTGCGTTTCTGCAAGATATCATATGATTTCTTCAAGATACCATGTTAATGTATGATAATGAATGATAATGATTGTTAAGGATATGTTAATGATAATGACTGTTAAGTGATCAATGAATGTTCAACATGTTCCTGTTCTTTGATCACTTTGCGCAAGACCGGTAAAGGTGTCTGTGTCAGCTTGGAAGGAGCTGGATTGGTTGAAGCACCGGAAAGCATGGTTTTCCCCCATGAAACATAGAGGTGTCCTGTAATTTTTGCCTTAAACCAATCGAGTGAGTTTGGTGGACCATGCCCATTTGGTCATTGGCGATAGTCCGTTTATAACCATGTATACAGACTTTTCATATACACATATGGATGTGTATGTATATATATACATATATATATATATACACTAGATACATACATACATATATATATATATTCACATCTATATGTATATATATATATATATACATATATGTATATATACATAGATATGTATGTAATATATATAGGCCCTAGGTTCCCCAAAAGTTGTGTGGTTGTCATTTTTCAGAAGCCGAAAAAATAGTGTTTTACCATTGCGAAATGCGTATTTCAGAGATGTTGAATGAGTATTGTTTTATTTCATTTCAATGTTGCAAACAAAATAGGCCCGCACGATTTCGTACTTCCAATGTGCAACATATACAACATGTCATTGATATGTTTTCGTAGTTCCAAGTGGAATTGACAGCATGGTTGAAATTGGGATATATGACATTGTTCGAAATGTCTGTTTTTTTGCTGTGTTTCCATAGGGAAAATGATATGCTTCATGTTTGGATGGTATTTGCGGTGGATTTGAAGGTGCTTGCAAATGCAACATGTTGATAGTCATGTTTTGTTTCTGTGTTTATCTCCTTTAATTCTTTGTTTGTGCTGTGTTTTTCAGGTAAAACGAAAAAATGATCATTTTTCGATGGTATATACAATACTGTGCTCTCATGGATTTGTAAATGTTTGATTTGTCGTGATTTATTATCAACAGAGGATCTCATTTTATTTCAATGTCTTTGCATCAGGATCATCAACAAGCATACGTTCTGTTACATCTCATTTTATTTCAACAAGCATACGTTCTGTTACATCTCATTAGTCTATGTTGCACAGGCAAAGCAATTTGCTGCAACTTGTTTTCAAAGTTTCCACGGAGCTCCAAATTTTGGTGACTGGCAAAACTACACATGGACAGTTCCCTCAATTTTTTTCAAGACAGTCAGGACAGTCAGCAAATCAGGTTTTTTATTGAGATGGTGCACTGCCTGCCAGCACGTTACGATGATCTATTGAATCATTACTTACTGACATCTAACATGCCCCACCCCACCCCACCCAACCCACCCATCATCACCGTAGCATCAACATAGCATCAGCATAGCAGCAACGAAGGTCTAGATTGCGTTAACATGCCCCACCCCACCCAACTCAACCCCAGTCTTTTTCGGTGAACCTAGGGCCCCGAGGGTAGATAATGCACATATTTATTTATATATATATATAAATATGTGTAGGGATATTCCATATATAGCTGGTGGTACAACCCATTTACTAAAGTAGGATGCACCCCCAGTGAAACTTGATCACTTTCGAGCCACTTTTAAGACTCTCCAAAAGATCAAGTTCGTTTTCGACACATGTAAAAATCCTGCAGCCACAATGTTTTTCCAATGATATATAGAACTGAACAATAGTGAACACATATGTAAGGACAACTCGGAACGAAAGTGGAAGAACCACTATATATATATATACATATATATATATATATACACATACACCATCTACGATCATTTGATCACCAGAACACACTATAATTGTGTAGGCCATACACCATGAGCGTTGTTTGTTCCTTTAAACTTTAAACTGGATCAGACATGATCCATTTTCCATTGCCATTAATGTGCCAAACGGGTGAGGTCTTCAACCCTCATTGGATGTCTCGAATATCCTGTCAGCCTACATATGTTCTTTGACCATCCTAAGCTGCTTCACCGCAACGGAGATCCAATGGGGGTCCAGGGATTTGTTCATGGAAACCTCAGAATCTCGGTGAGTCCAAGGGGGGATGGCTTTGCTTTCACTTGTCGCTCCATGGAGATAAGACTCACCTTCTTGTGTGGCCTAGTATTTCTCACATGCCATGACCATCCACCTGTATTTCCTCCGGCTTATTTCATCATATTTGATTCGCGCAATATACAGGGAGCCTTGCACTCAAAGATTTTGAAATGGAGAATGTTTGGGTTGCCGGCAATGACAATCAGCCAACCTTGAGACCTTGCGACGGCACTTCTTACAGATGCCCTACGGATGTCGATTTCGGCATCACAATCCCCCAAATCCAAGTCCTAAGTAGTTACTCCCTGATAAGATGCTTTCAAACTTATGGGGAGCATTTTTATGGAATACCACATTATAATCATAATCCCGGAATAAACTTGGTACTGTACTGTAACGCTAATAATATGTATGTATATATATATACACATAACCTCTAAATTTATCCATGATTGACAACGGTATATTTTATCGCTCACTTGTCACATCTGGTCTCATTGGACTCCATTTTAGATCTCAATAGGCTGCCCAAGCAATGCCTGCAGGACCATGTTTTTGGTATTCTTAGGCGGGAATTTCAGCAGCTCGGACCTTGACCGAGGCAAAGATTACTGGACGCCAAAGCTCTTGAATTTGTGGTTTATCCCCATGCACTTCACCTGTTTGTTGCCGCTGCTGTTGGCAGATGTCAACGAAGTGGCCTGGCAGTTGCCAGGGCTTTTCGTTGGGGATGATTCTGACGTACATTGCATGGAAAAAATGTGGGAAATGCTCAAGTTGTAGGAAATTTCAATCTTGACGAGATGTTGTTTTTTTATCCCCCTTACCATTTCCACTACTAAAAGGGTGAACACGTGCTTGGTACCATCCTCTGATTCGTGGATAATTCAAGCAAAAAAAATGGACCCGTGCACCAGTTTTTGTAGTAAAAGGGTGTGCACTGTATCTTGTAGCGGCGTTCCATTTTGCACTCATAAATCGGAAACGCATTTTGTAGTGATTTATTTTGGGATGCGTTGTGTCGTGCCGGAAACCCTATAGCCCTCTTTTACCAGTCATGCTCGGTCACATGAACATATAGCTTGGACCCTCAGACCATTTTTGGCTCTTGACTCACGATTATTTCGTGGTAAGATGAGCCCCCAAAAATTCAAAAAAAAACAAATAAGGTAGAGACTTTAAGACGGAAAAATGGGACAGACTTGGTTTCAAAACCCATCAATTGAACTTGAAGTTGTGCGCTCAGATCGTTTTTAGCTCTGACGATTGCAGTTCAAAACCTCTGCGCCGTGCTTTTGTCACACCTTTTTTGGCCATCACATGCGATTATTAATTAAAATCTAAATCTATCCCATTCTACTACCTGGATCCATCCTAGATGTCTAATCATCCAACATCATGTCAAAGAACACTCTTTCATGTTTTTTGGGTGGATTATTGACCCTGAACGGTTAACAACGACCTTGAACGGTTTTTAACGTACTTGGTGTACCAGGGATGTCTATATATATAATAAGTGCATATATTGGTATAAATGTATATATTTATACCTATATACATACATACAATTACATACATGTGAATATATGCACATGTATATGATTATGAATAAATATGTATATACATATATATATATAATTGAATATGAAGGTATGTATGCATATATATATATACATATATGCATGTATGCCATGTGTATAAATGCATATGCAAAAAACGATCAATATACCATGCACACATACATGTCTATGCTGCATGCTGTGTGTATGCTGAAAGTATTGCACCCAGGACTCTCCACTCTGCACCAAGACCCACTTTCATCAATCCCCTTTCATTTTTCGCCTTTGCAAGCTCATCTAAACTCATCCCCAAGAAATGTTAATTTGTGCCAAGTACCTTTGTATGGATCTCAAAGCACATGTGCGTGCACTTACACTGCGTGTAAGCAACGCACACCTCCCAACAAAATCTTCATCCGTGCTGCATGTTTCAACAGCCGGGTTAAGGACCCACCTGGACAGTGCCGCCTGTCGGCGTAGCTCAAATTGGATTTCATGTAAAGAATGTAATTTTGGAAGCATTGCAAATCGAGCTTGGCACTTTTGAACATGTATGTGTGCCAGTTTGCAATATGCCCTGATAAATTGTAGCAAACCATCAGCTAGTTCAAGTGCTGTGCCCCGCTCCAACCAACAATCAGAGGCATAGAGAAGACGCAAGGCATGGTTCACGTTGATCGTGCCCACTTCCTCAGTAAAGCGACCAGTCTCCCAAGGTTTGAAGGGCAAAGGTCTTGTGGTATAAAACTTCATTATAGGAAATAACCGCATATCCAAATATGAACAGGTAGACCCTTGCATACATCAACCACATCATAGAGTGAGGAACTTCAACACAACAGGCAGAGTCCCTGAATCAACTTCATATATATTCAAAACCATGCATTTAAACCCTGGATCCCCAAACCATCTAAACTAAGCTCAAGAAAGTTGCAATGAGCCGCAAGCACTCATCAGCATGTACCAAAACAGGGTGCATCTTGCACAGGTGTTCAAGGAACAAGCACAGCAGCGTGGTAACTGCAGCTTTGCTCCACGATTCAATGGCTTCATTAGATCCACCCCCACCACAGAGAAACTTGTCCACTTTGGAAATGAACTTGTACTCCTTTTCAGCCCGGGCCCATGACAGAAATTCCAGGTTCATCTTGTCAAAGCGAGCATCGATACTGTTTCCGGCAAAGACAATTGAAAGCAACAGCAATGAAGAAGCAACCCAACTCTTTCCGACACCAAGGTGAAAGGTGTGCCAAAGGTCAGGCTTATGGAACCTTGCAGCCCCATTTGGCGCTGAATCCTTCAACAGCAACCGTGTAAATGCAGCCTCCCGCTCCCAGGGTAGAGGTAGAGGTTCCACATGCGATTTTGACATAGCAGCTTCTGCATCCCTCCTCAAGCTGAAGTATGGAGATGCTCAGAAAATTGGGTATGTTGGATCTAACATGCAGTAAAATTGTATATGTGTATATAGTTTGGACGGTCCATATTACTTATCTCATACAGCTTAAAACCACAAAACATATCAAAAGAATTAATCTTGGTCAAAGGATCAGGTTCTCCCATTCAAAAGTCTGGCCTCCCAAACACAGGTGGCATATCCCAGCCCCTGTCGCATCCGTTGGATGCTTTGGAGCTCGCCTGTAGGATCGTACCAGGTTTGCCGAAGTTACCTACAAGCACATGGAATGGGTTTAGATGGAATATTCACACGCACATGGTCCAGTAGCAAAATCAAATTATCAATGTGCAGAGGACACCCCAAAGTACAAACAAACATATACATCATCAATTGGAGCCCAGGAACCAGGTATGACCAGTCCCCTTTGTTTCCAAGGATGATGGGGTACACACGTCCATTCGGCTCACCCAAGTCAATGCCAGTTTTTTCCAGGTCCGAGAAGTGTTGACAAATCATCTCAAAGATTGCATGCCAAACACGGGGGTCATCTTTGTACATCTCCTCCCATGGTACTGAACCATATGTATATATATATACCAAAGATATCATCGTTCAAAAATTTATGATATATCCTGATGATAGAACACCAACAAGGTATCACACCAAATACAGTCTAACATAAGCCATATACTTGTTTCCCTTAATTTGAAAACACGCTGAACTTTTTTGCTATACCCAGTCCTTTGGGGTGATGATGGTGAGCATCCTGGTAAATGTTCCTGACTTCAAAAAATTGAGTGGAAGTCCAGCTTCTCCCATATCAGCTAAATTCACAGCCATGTGATGTGGGCGTCTGGAGCTACCGTACCCCAATGGTGATTGCCAACTCACTATCAACACCCCCTGCCTTTTGTACGTGGTGCCCTCGTCGCCATGCAAATAAAGGGGAATGCATTGCGAGGCCTGTTTCCTCCCTGCGTCTATGTCATTCCACAACTCATGATGGGGAAAAATTTTCCGGTAGCGATCCCAGAATGTCGTCAAAATGGGTCTTGCTTCCTCCATATTTCTGAATCCACCCAAGATGTGGCACAAGTCATTCATGCGGGCAAGGGTTTCCAGAAACACTGATGGAGGCAGCCAGGCCAAACCCTTCAATGGGCCATTCTGAACATAGTTGATTCTGACTGGGTAGAACATATTGTGATGTTCCATTGCTCTTGCAACACCAGCTTCCTAAAGTTGCATGCCCCACCAGAAATACATATAATTGAACAGATTTGGGGTTAGTTTTACAGGATCATTTTTCACATAATACAGTTTCATCCGAATTCAAAATATGAAAAAGACATTGCAATTGCAACAAAGGGTCGCTGTTCCTAAGGTTGACCCCGCTCAGGGTTGATAGCAAAGGGCACCGGGGAGCAACATAGCCATCATCACGGTCATCAGCACAGGAATCTTTTGCAAATTTGATGATCTCGGTGCAATGCTCCTTAAGGGATGGAAGCCCAAAACAGAATTTGATCTTATACATAACTTATCAAGTAGATACATTGAATTACATGCTATCCCAAGTATATATGTTTGAAAAAATAATTACATCAACACCTTGCACTGTCACAATATAGCCAAGTGTCGCCACAGCCATATCGCCAAGCCAGCCTTCGAGCCTTCCGTGAGGGACCTGGCTGGGAAGAATTGCATGTGAAAGGGGGCAAGAATCTAAAAACAATCATGTATATATGAATATATGTTTGATATACCTCATATATATATACATGTACATCATATCACATATATATATATATAGTATATACATCCCGAAATAAGTACCTATTGGGAATGGACCACCACCTGTACACAAGCAGCAATACCTTTTCTCGTGGTTCCCTGCTGCGGCTAGAGCCACATGCACTTAAGATTGATTGTCCGCAGATATCTGCAAATGTCAGCACAACTCAGTGATGACTGGCTTTCGCTAGCATATGTCAACATCCGAGCATGCAGCTGATACCCAATATTTTGTGGTTGTTCAACCAACATGTGGTTCTCCACATGTTTTCTCAAAACCCGAGAGCCAATGATCATGAATGAGGGACTGCATACAAATTAAATGATTGAAATAACAGATTGTGACCATTAAATTATTATATATAAATAAGGTATATACAATACAATTGTGGAGCATCATCCCATACACCCCATATTGCATTAGATGGTGCACCAATGCACCATATGTATATAATATATACAATTAAGCTAAATGGTATAAAACCAGTCCAGTCCTTTATCTCACTCATGATTCGTTTTTGTTGCTCTTTGAGCCCCTGAGTTTTTTGGCCTTGTGCGGCACTTCCGAGGCCTCAGCAGATGGAGCTGGTGTAGCCTTTGGCTTCTTGTCTCCCTTGGGTGCCTTGGGCTTCCCATCACGGCCTGCTGATTTCTTGGATTTGGGAACCTTAGGACCCTTAGGACCCTTAGGACCCTTAGGAGCCTTAGGAGCCTTAGCACCCTTAGGACGACCATCACGGGTCTTTTTGGGTGGTTTCACTGGCTTGGTCTTCTTGGCCTCCTTGACCAAATGCCTGCACAGTGACATGGATCAGAACCCCCCCATAGAAATGATATGGGCAATGGCAAAGACTGTACTGCTTTCAAATATTTCGCAACATGTCGATTCATATATGTGTTTGGCTAAGTGACTTCTGCTGGTTCTCCAAGGTCAGCAATTCTGCGCACCTAAGATTAAGATTAACTGCAGCTGCGAATTCGAAATGATAAGGGTAACCTTGTTACAAATAATTTCTCCTTACAATTTCATCTATATATAATTGCGTTCGATTCCATTGCATGAACATGCCTTCAAACGATATCACTCAGGATTGTTGGATTACACTGGGTTCATATGCTTGCAATCTTCTCAAGCACATGTCATATATATGATATATAGTTTGGCCCAGGCTCAGGTCCCTGACTTTGTTCTTTTCATCAGCGATCTTAGCCAGCAACCTGGGATTGGAGCACAAGTCTATAGACACACCAACAAGTTTCAACCGGGTTTCCCAAAGAAGATGCTTCTTTAATCAACCTTCTATTTCCATATATTTGATTATATATATATATAAACATAATAAGCTGGCAAGTCATGCATGAATGCACTCAAAAGATATTTTGAGCGAGCTCCGGTTCAATCTTTTGCCACGGATGCTTTCCCCTAAAAGATGCCACGAGGCACATGCACAAGTAATTAAGATAGGATCAGCTGATTTAAAATCAGGTAATATCCCAATCTAACAAGAGCATCACTGAACCATCATGAGGTGTGCATTGCTTGGCCTCTTGAAAGACCTGTACACCATATACACAAAGAACGGTCCATCAATGGAAAACGGGACGTTATCTCCTCCATCTTTGATATTGCGACATCCAGTTTCTCCTCAGGGAGCAGCAGTGCTGTGATCAAAAGATTGATCGTATATAGGAATTATATATATATATAGACATTTTACCTGAAAAAATGATGTTGAATCAACATTAATCAAGGTAAAATTTCAAAACATATTGGAAACCCTGGATGTCCTTTGTACCGTTGAATCAATGCAGCTTCCACGAAAGATGTTGACACAGTTTCCGAAGCCACATAGAGCACAAGCATGTGTTCCCATCCAGCTTTCAAGTCATGAGCATACCCAAATTTTTGGTTGTAAAACCGGGTGTGGGGGCAATGTGTAAATCCAAATTTGTAGATGAGCGGTTCATGCTTTGCTATCACACCATCACTTGTTGAAAAACAATGTTTGAGAATTGCTCCAGGTAAGCATCCTTTGCGTGGGAGTTTGTACCCCAAACGCTCATCAAACTCTATCTTGTTGAAGCATTCCAGGGTGCGAGCCATATCCAAGAGTTGTGCATCCAAGGCATCCGACCATGCCGACTTCAATGCAGTTGGAATCCAAGTTGGAGCGGGTGGTCCTGGAGTGAGCAGGTATGACAGCTGAGGGAAGGCATGAACTATCATGATAGAATGGTGGTATTTACAAAAACAAAATCAAGTATCAATTAATAACCTAGATGGTTTAATTTTAAATTGTGCATGCATGCACATTGAAACCACAAATGCAAATGGCCTTAGCAGATTCTATCAACACCACATGACATATTATGGCAGAGGTTGCACAGCTTTACCAGGCACAATGAGCCCATGCCCCAGTCTCCTTTGGGTACTATGGTAGCTGGAATGAAGCTTAGCTCACTGGCCTGGAGCATGCAGACAACCATTGGGTTTGGTTTTTATACTGATGATGCTGATTACGTTTCATATACTTATATATATATATACATATAGGATACTCAATGATATCCTATGTGGATTTGCGTCGATATGTGATGGTTTTTCACACACAGACCATATCACAAGTGCATGGTTGCCAACAGATGAATGCATGTTCAGGGGGTGCCCGGCCTGGCGGTTGTAATCAAGTAGTTCTTGAATCCAAAGGACTGGATCATCACTGGCTTCATCGGTTGTTGCTAGCATGGTGAAAGTCGGAGCCATGTAGCTGCAAAACAGGGCTCATTGAAGGCCCCTCCCTGATTGTAATCAAGATGCATTTTCTGTTACATATAGATTATAAGATTAAGGCTGTTCTGCATAGGTCATCTGATTTTAATCATATAATGAACATTGCATCAACACATGTAAATTGTAAAGATATATTATTTATATCGAAGCATCTTCTTTGGGGTGCCCGGCAGTAAGACATATATAGTTGCTTCCCAGAAACGCAGTGAGCTCATCACTCTTGGTCTGCCCATTGTTGTGATCCATCTTTAGGGCGGTGATGTGAGATGCAAATCGGTTGTAGGACTCATCCATGAGTTTCTGATTCTGCTTGAACTTGTCCATCAACCTCAATCTTGTACCAATTAACAACAATCATGAATATACCAATTAAAAACAATCATGGTACAATACATGATTGAGTATGTCAGCATGGAACCATCAAGACAAGAAAACCAATCAGTTGAGCTACACATCAGACTGGGAAGAACTGGGGACATTTTCCTTAATTTGCGCCACCAAGGTGTCAATGGATCGAACTTTGGTGCTCAAGCTTTCCATGTACTTGTCCAGCTCCGCCACAGGCTGGCCGCAAGAGTTGGTAAATGGGTGGGTTTTTGGAACAATCATGCAATGCCCTCATGCTACCCCATTCCTTTTGTTTGTATATATTCTGTCCTGATCATTGGGGTTGATATAAATATATATATATATAAGTTGATCCAGCCTTCTCGCCAACCACAGCCACAGCCGGGTCCGCTGAAGGCATATTCACTTCTCCCTGGGGGCCACTAGGGGCACATTGCAAAACCTCTGCCTGAGCTCATGAGTTTTGGAAGAGAGATCATGCATGTAGTTTGGGGACATGGCACTTGAATGCCTGATGCAATCCTAAAGGTTTCACTGAGTGAGACATTGGATATAATATATATATATATACATATTATGTATATAAGCTTATGTGAGCACTATTGGTTTTGTTCAAGCTAAGGGACGCCCAATTCAGTGGCTTCCTGGCGCTTTTCAATGTCTGCCAGCTTTTGCAAAGTTGACTCCTCCAAGATCACATAGTACTCCGATATTCGAGAGTCATATTGCCAAGGTCTCAGGGTGAATGAATGGGAAAAAATATATAGACAGAATGGGGATCACAAATCATGTATGCAGGTAATTGTGTTTAAACAAAGTATGCCATATATATATATATCAACGAATGTTCATGCATAAAAGGATCAAGGTGATAAATTGCATGCACATTAAATATGTCAACCCTTGTGCCTGGTGAGCGACTCTGGGAATTTGGCACAGTACCCAGTGATCGACTTGATGGACTGGGTGGAAAATTCACCACATTTCTTCATCCTATCTTCAGTCATCCATCGACCGAAGACTGTGTTCTCTTTCATGGACATTTTTTCCTTCAAAATCGTCACTTTGGTCACGAATTCGCCCTTAGCTGTGGTGATCGGTTAAACAGTTGGTTGTATATATTAATTCAGTAATCCATTAAAACAGTATATATCTTAACACATTCACGATCATCATTCTATATAGATCCAAGCTTCTTTAACCTTTTTGTAGGCCCCACGTTCTACTCCAAATTTAGCTACGGCATCAAGCAGAGCCATCTCGAGCAATTCCCTCTTGGAGCCCCCTGCAAAGTAGTCTCCATGGATGCTGTCAGGCACAGAGCAGCGACCCGAGCCTTTGCGTTCGCAAAGGCGCCGTGTTCGCATGCGCAAGGCGTCATGGGTCAAGGGAACCTGGGCCAATGGACATCGATGGATATGGACACATGTTGTGATGATCTCGATAAAAAGTTGTAAGGTTATACACACTCCCCAACCGGTGTTGCAAAGAAGATTGGGCTTGCACTGACATAAACATTATGTGTGTGTGTGCAAAACCAGTATAGTGACCTAAAAACCAAGGTTACAAAAGTATAAAGCATGTTGTATGGAACTTCTCGGCCATCTGCAGTGGTCAAATACTTCTCGGGGTCATCGTCATTTTCTTCATCAGAAACATCACCATCGTCATCTTCTCGAGATCCACTATGGGCAGCAGACTTCGTCTTCTGGTCTGCCTCCAACTTATCAATTTTCTCCAATGCAGTTTTCAGCATGGCTTTGAGTTCGGTATCACCCTCGGACCCTGGGTTACCATCTGTTGAATCTTTTGGCTTTGGGGGATCAGCAAGACGGGTTTCCAGGGCTGCAATCTTACACATCAATGTCGCAGTGCGCTCTGCTTCCTCATGACGGCGTCGGTTGTTCTCCTGAAGCAGAACGGGTTAATCATACATGGAGCACTCTTTGGTTAATCATACATAGAGCGCCATCAAGTCAAATTCAATGCTGAAAAAATGGTTTTGATTGTTTTGGATCATTGTAGCATGTATCCATATATTTATAAGAAAAACCTGAGCCATGATATGTTGAAATTATGTTTTCTGTTTGCATCCCAGGCACAGCTTCAAACATCTTCTGGAACTGTTCCAGAGACATAGAAGGGACCAAAGCTGTGCCCGGGTTGGTCAGGTCCTTGCATCTCAGGCCATTGAAGTTGGGATCTTGGGTGACGGGAAGTTCATCCATATATAGACCTATATCAATGGGTCTATCACCTCAAACATCTTGTACACGCAGGAATTTCACCTGCAGACGCATTATATATATATATATTTTTTTTGATATGATTTTGATATGTATCTCTCAGGATGTATGTCCTATATATATATTTATGTAAGGTATGAAATTGATTTTGTTAAATCCACTAGTCTGAATCAAGGATTCATGTATATAGGTGTTTATATAGCAAACTTGATTGGTCCAAGCAAACCCAATTGAAATTTCATTATATCAGTATAACCATTGAATGCATTATACAACTCAACACTGGCAATCCAAGTTTCAGCCGGGATAGTTGACATAGGTGATGCAGGGCTGGATGACACAGGCGCTGCAGGCTTAGATGCGCAGTGACCGGTTTCCAAATCATGATATGTGTGAAATATGTGAAGCACAGTGACCTGTAAGCTCATGCAAGAGGTTCCACTGCTAATTTTCCACTTGGGTTGGTCCCCCAAAAAAGGCCCCCACAAGTCCCAAAATCTTTCATAAAATGCAGAGAAAACACTTTTTTGTGGGGACTTGTGGGTGCCTTTTTTGGTGAACCAACCCAAGTGGAAATTTACCAGGTTCCACATTAAAAGTGCACCATATGATATCCCACCACCCAGTGTTATACTCTTAATATATATGATGCATAACATTCCAACAGGTTTCCCATACCATTGCAAGACGACAAGATGCTGACAAGATGCACTGCCAAACATCTTCCTGGGCGAAGGTGTCTCACGCTTCACCATGACATGCTTGGCTGCTTCCTGAGATGTATGGAGGCCAGCGGGTCAGGGGTGATCGGTCCAAGCTTAAGTCAAACCATGGCTTGAACAGTATCAACATAGTTTGCAAAGGGTATATGCTTATATGAATTTATGTTGCCAAGATCAATCAGGCACATGATTATATTGTTGAGTCAATATACATGGAAGCTGAACATGACTCCAAATATATAGCATGCAGTTGAGTGACCAAGCTAGGTGGGCTCTCCGTTGACTTCAGCTTGGTAATCACAGTCTGAGCTGCCTGTGAGGCAATCAAAACAAACGTTTGTTGCAGGGGAATGCCCACAAAGGATCCATGCAAATGAAGCAATCTCAGTATGTAGTATATCATCGTGTGGTTATCATGTTTTATTTGCTGGCAAAATGCTTTGACAGCATCCCTAGCAGAGCGGGCATCCAACTCCACCCCAGCCATCTTCGCACACATAGCCACCCCTTGCTCCAAAGTAGCACAGCTCCATGCCCTGCTTCGGATGTCCATGTCTGAACCAGACATCTATATAGACAAAGAGAAATGCCTTCACAAGAACTGAACCCTTTTGATCAAAAACGGCTTAGGATGATGAATAGATTAATTGAACTTCGATGCATGATCAATCGACATTAGGAAATCACATGAAATTGGATGCTTCAAGTTGTTAATCTTTGTGCATGCATGTGCAAGCAACACATTTTGAATCCAAGAAACTGATGTGCCAATCACACATGTGTGGTTTAAATGCAGAAATGAGCTAATGGATCAGCATTTTTGCACACTTCTGGGAATGTGCAGCCAACAGTCTTCAATTTGAAGATCTTCTATAGCAATCCATGCAGGATTCCAGCCCCAAATCAATGAAAACATGTGGAAAACAGGTCTCCCAAAAATGACCCTAAAATTTAGGCATTTTTTTACGTAATTTTTACGTAATATTTACATAAGTCT